ATACTAGCTGGCAAACCCGGCTCCGCCGGCCCTGTCATTATTATATTCGTAATCAGCATGCTCGATTACCCCCCTGTGCCAACTCTCAGCCCCGTAGCTCAAATTTTGCAAAAAATCGATAAAATCGATATCGATCGATAACGAAAAGTAGCCTATGACACGCTCCCTGCCCCGAAGTATATGTGTGCCAAGTTTGGTCCCGATCGGTTCAGAAATAAAAATTTCTATTCCGCACATACGTACAGACAGACATACAGACATACATACAGACAGACATTCAGCTTTATATATAAGATGATTGGGTTGTGTAATTAGTTCTGTCCCACTTTCTCTTTTGATTTTTTCTTAATCTTTTACACGGTATTTAAATGTATATATGCGTTTGAAAGCTCCAATCTACTCCGCAAATCCATATGCGTCATCCACCAACTTAGCAGAAAAATGGAAACGAGTTTTGGCACCAAAATAAAAAGTCCGAGGAGGCGAGAAAACAATTCTCGGCATTTTTTTTCTCTACAAATTTTCCAGTTTTTTGATGGTAAATTGTATTCAGCAAGTTTCACAAAAAATAGCCTAATAGACTTTTCTGTTTGTTGCGTCACTGTTTGTGCTTGTTCGCTTCCTTCTACCAATTTTTCAACGTCATTTCTTTCAAAAGACGGCGAAGCAAAACTCTGTCGAGGTGATGCTGGTCGTCTTACGTACGCGAACTGTGACCCCCAAACTTTGAATTTTTGAGTAATTAGCCTATGAATTGATGTTTTTGTAGCCACAGACCATCCCTCCTGTCTTTTTCGGATTATACGTCCACCGTCCTCTAACGAATGCCTTCAGATGGCCAAGGTCAACGTTGGAGAGACGTTAAAAAGAAGACTTTCAAAAGTCTACAGAAGTATTTCTTGAAACTTTTTCATTCCCGAAACGTTGAAGCTATAGTATTCATTCCTCACGAGTAACAAATTTTTTGGGTCGTTTCGTACGTATTCTGACTTATGCGGAGGGCGACGTAATGTATTTGTATTAGGTGGGTCCGAAAGTTCATGCAGTTTTCTGGCCCTATCCTCAAATTATTAATAATGATAGACAAACATTCTAAGAAGTGTTCTAGGCAGAATTTCTTCCTCTTTCCAGCAGTAATGTTTTTGTTTGGATTCTTCTGATGTTCGTTTGAAAAATCGTCAAAAATTTCGACCCATGGTTTTGAGCAAACCTAACTTGCTATTTTTCCATATTTTCGTTCTGGACTTCCGGAAATGATTTGATAAGAATTGGATAGAGTAAACCAAATGCTACAAAATCCAATTCTTCTGGCATCGATAGCTGGCTTTTCAAATTTTATAAAATTATCATTTCGATGGTACCAAATTAGATATTTGTTTTCAAACCAGAACTTCGGACGGCAAACAGGTAGGATATCATTCGATGAAGCTTCTCTTTTTCTTTTTGATAAATGTTTTTTTTCTGACTCGTGAAGGCCTCGAGAAAAAAATTGCCATAACTCTAGTTTTTTGATGAGTAGGGTGCACCAGAAAATTTCAAAATCAATATTTCGAAGCGGAAGAAACTGATTTGTGTGTTAAAATTAGTCTTTAGTCATGATCGATTCTTGGAAAATCCAATTTGCGAAGATTTCATAGTGTTTTAAGCGTCTGTGTATTTTACGATTTTACAAATGTGAAGACTTTTGGAAAACTTATTTTCAAATACTGTAAACCCAGCTATCGATGCCAAAAATCGGGTTTTGCAGCATTTTGCTTACACAGTTTGAATATTATCAAACCTTTTTCAAAATTCCAAAACGAAAATTTCAAAATATAGCTAAGATGGATAGGTAAAAATCATGGGTTAAAAATTCTGATGATTTTTCAAGCGAACAACAAAGAAATTCAAACAAAACATCATGCTGGAAAGAGGAAGAAATTATGCACAGAAAAGTGCTTGAAATGTTTGTCTATCTTTATTCTGAATGATTTTAGGTCTAAAACGGCACGACCTTTCGGACCCTCCTAATAGTTGTTGAAAGTAGATTTTTTCCTCCTGGTTTTCCAGATTCAGTGCTGGAAAACCCTTTCAAATCTTCTGATGTAGGAAACTGAAGCAAAAATTCTGATAGAGCAGGTTTACAGCTTTTTAGTGCATAAATACATTTTGCAAGGCATCGTGCATATTTTTGAGAAAAATTTAAAAGAAAAATTGGAGCAGAACTTATTACACCGACCTAATAGATTCAAGTCAGTTCGGGCATACCTATAGATATAGAATTCATTGCGGTCACAAACTATCTTTTCTTGTGAGCGGGGTATTAGCCAGTATGATTTTTTGTAATGCTTCCACTGAATTCAGTTCCACCTACCCGAAACTCGTACTAGATTTGTTTCATCCTTTGCTTGGACTATTCTCGTCCAAGTTATCTGGCGCACATAAATCTTCACCTACTGCTGCATTTGGGAATGCAATTTGCTAGAGCCGGTAATCCACGCCCGATGTGTCCGAAACGCGGAAGAAGGTTCATTTGATATCCAGTTTACATTAGAGTTCAAATAAGTGTCGCATAACCATATATGCATCAAATCCTTTTTCCTCCTTTTTCATCGTGATAAATTTCCACTCAAAAATCACCTTGTTTCGGGATTGAAAATTGCCGTAGCATCAGATTTGGAGACCTCATTTCAGTGGAGTTCTTACCATAGTTACTGCTCTAATTCTGAGCGAATTCTCTTCTCATTTCGATACGAAACCCAAGTGTGCGTCTCATTTGGACGAACAACATCAGTGCTGCCGCAGCGAGGGTTCTTCCGCTTCGAATGCCACTCGAGTGCCTCTCCCTTTTTCGCTCCCCCACCGGAATTCCTAAATCTATAAGCGGCACCGCGCGTCAATATCTCTGCTCTTCACTACCCTCAACGCTATTCGAATTCGATTATAATCTGTTTTAAGCTCTTAGTGTGACATTGATACCCCTTTAATTCGATTATTGCATGCTTTCTTGCCGAACGTATGTGTAAGCAAACATATTTCATCTCCTTTTTATGTTGAACTTTTTGTAAGACACTGGTAATCTCTATCCTGGGTTGTGAATATGTGGGAATGAGGAAGTAGTTTCGAAGATTTAAAGGAAAGTAAAAAGTGCAATGCGTTTTGTAAGGAAAATGTGCGAATGATTCCAGTTATTCCTTCCTTACATAAGAAATTCAAAATATCTCTATGCGCTATCCCGCTACTGTAGTTTCTTAGAAATCAAGTGGAACTGCTGTGTAGAGTGAAGACATCTTTTTTTTTTCATCCAAAATATCTTTGAGTTTCTATGGGATTTTATCCTAGGTCAATGAAAAAGAAAAAATTTATTCACGCCAGTTTATCAAGAAACTGCCCAGTTCTGACATCAGTGGTTTTTAGTTTTGGAAAAGCTTTGGGACAACATCATGTGCTCGAAAATGATCTTTTCGAAAGGCTACTGGTTTTGTAGCTTTGGATAAAGGTATAATAGACATTGACATCATATACATGCTAGATGCATTATCCATTATGTTAGCCTGTCCGGAAAATAATGTCGCATCGTGCTTTATCATGCAATATCGCGGCAGGGTGAGCAGGAAAGTAAGTAAATGGGGCACCAAACGATAGATTAAAGCAAGCACTACAAACTGAAGCTCAAGCCTTCGCGCCAGGTTTGATCTGCGTGAAGTTTGGAGCCAAATTTCATAAGACACTAAAGATCCAAAAAACGAAAAAAATTGCCTCTCCGTTCAGAAAAGTCCTGGGACCTTTAACTTGTTCGTATGGATTCACTATACCAGATACTCGTACATTTTCGTGGTTTTTCCATGGCTGGAGATTGCGAAAACGAAATTCGGCATATTTTTTGTTAAAGCATCCTGAGCTTCTCTCAAATAGGTGATTCTGTAGTACGAATCTTTGGGAGTCTAACCATGGATTTTCAGCTTAAGACAAGCTCTAGTTTTAGAGAAAAACCAAATTATTTGCAAAAAAACCGAAAAACGTGACATACTCGCACTTTTGACCTGGTTTTGTTTGTTATACTGTAGCCATGGAAAAATACCACAAACTTTACAGGTGAATGTCCAATGAGAGTACATGCCTGTGTAGATTGGTGTCCCTAAGACGTCTATGGACGGAGATACGATTTTACGGTGTCTGAAATTTTTTATATTTTGGATTCGAAATTCAGCTAGAGCAAGATTTCCGCGGAGATTTGTAGACTGTTTTTTAGAGCTTGCTTTGCTTAATCTTATGATACCCCATTCGCTGTTTTCTGTGGTCACTCTGTCACGGTAGGATGCCATGCGACATTATTTTCCGGGCAACCTAACTATACATGCTAAACTGTTATGAGAAGAGTGTGCCTGTTAGCTGTTTCCTTACATAGCTTTTCGTAGAATTTTATTCATTGGATTCTGTCATACTTAGTAGAAATGTGAGATTAGGATTGTGCCACGAATTGGTGGAGCAATTCCCTTCCTACCATACTATTTGTTCCTTCATAGTTCGAGCATCGAAGAATCTGCTATCACTTGTTAATTGTAATCGTTATACATTCAACCAACTGTGCATGAATATAGTAGATCAAATCGGTAAGAAATTTCTGTCGTACCTTTTTCTTTTTAATTTTGAACGAGTATTAGGTAAGCTTTACATATTCTTTGAATTATATTTGCGTCATCGCGTTCTAGCAATAGTTTTCTTTCTAATCTCATTTTTTGGCCTTTTGCTCTTAATCCATAACTCTGCATAGAGACCATTGCTGGAATGATGTTAAGCAAATCTCATACGATCTTCTCGGTATCTCTGGACCCGTCTTCGGTAGTAAGTCGCTTGCAATCTTGAAGCGCACGATATCCTCTTCCTACAATAAAATTCATTATAACTGCCTAAGCTGTTGGAAAGCTATAATTCTGTTCACAAAATGGCGTGACAGGACTTCCAGGCAACTCTAGTACGTCATATAATATAAGCAAGAAATCCTTCAAAAGTCTATTTCAAGTAGAGCACCTGATGACAAATGCTGTCCTACTCTGCTGCTTGTTCACGATTATTCACGCACGATTAAAGCACTCCGCAAAAGATCTCGAGGGCCAGCTCTATGAAGATCTGCTCTTCGATTATAATAAAATTCCACGACCCGTGAAAAACAGCTCCGATATTCTGACGGTTGATGTCGGAGCTTCGCTTATTCGGATAATTGATGTTGTGAGTTCTGCAGATTTCTCGACAAGCACTTAGGTTTACCTGTAGTGATTGCAGGATGAGAAAAATCAAGTGCTCACAACAAATTTGTGGCTTGAAATGGTGGGTTACTGTGCTTATATGGATTTGTCCACAGCATATGATTTGAAGCTATTTTTTATCGCTACAAATGCAGAGGTTTCTACAACTGAGAACGTTCCTTTTGCAGAAATGGTTCGACGCGAAATTGACATGGGATCCGAAGAAATACGGAGGATTGCGCACGCTACATATACCCAGTGATTTGATCTGGACTCCCGATTTAGTGCTGTACAACAAGTGAGTATTTATACAGAACATTAGAACTGCAGTTTAGCGTAACGAGATTAGTTCTTCAACAGGATTCATTCTTAGACATATCTTGAGCTTGCATTTCGTGCATACTACATGCTCTAACAGATCTCGCGTGGCGAGGGAATTCAAAATCATGCCCCAAGTGAATAAGTTGTTTTTTTTTACAACGAGCAGTCGATGAAATGACACCAAATTAAGAGTTTATGCACGCAATGGCGAATAGAACAGTGTTCTATAGTTACCTTCTCATTCATCGGGAGTGGCGGGTGGAAAGCGAGGCTTCGATAGCTAATCAAACCCAAGGAATGATTAGAGAGCACATTCGCGAGAGGGTGGCAATTGCGTTGCTTTGGGGAGCGGTCGCCTTCCACCTGTCACTCCCGATGGATCAAAGGGTGGGATGCGGAAAGATGGCCCAACATTGAATTTGATGGCTTAGTTGTCAACTCGGTCCCAGCAAGGCTGACACGACGATACGAATGTTATAACTCTTCCTCTACCTCACATCATTTATAGACAAATTTTCTACCGTTCTATTATTTATACAAACTGATTATTAACAACCTAGAAGTAAGACTCGTCTCTTCTCTGCTTTGCTACAGCCATGGAAGATACGAAACCGCCTTGAATTTTGCTGCTTTACTTCTGACTTTCCTTGTCTTTTTTTACCGCTGCAGCCTTTCCGAAACTATATCCCGTAAATACTCGACGGTACGTCGTAGCGTCGTAGTTTCAAGCAAAAGGAGGTGTTTTATCTTCAAACCTTGTTGTCGTAATTCTCCTCCTACCACACAAGAACGACCCTCTCCTCATTTGTCTGTCTCGGCTTTTGCATTTGGTCGTGAAAATACTAAACCTTTGTTCCAAAACCTGGAGAGAAGAACTTTGAGCAGCGTCTCCCATCACATAGTTTGCTTCGTTGTACTTCATCAAACTACACTTTCATAAATAATTTCGAACACTAGCACGATTTAGCGCTGCTGGTGATCCTGACATTACGATTCTCACCGACGCCCTAGTTACCCATGAAGGTCAGGTCTTTTGGCAGCCTCCAGCCATCTACAAGTCTTTCTGCCCAGTAAGTTCTGGTTACTTCATTTCTCTGCATCGTATCAATCACCCACAGATTGATGTTACGTGGTTTCCCTACGATTCGCAGAAATGTGAGATGAAATTTGGCACATGGACATACACTGGTCGTTATGTCGATTTAAAACAACTTCCGAAAGGTATAAAAAATTTTTACCTTGCACATTTGCTATTTTTATTAACCTCTGCGACATAACCTCTGCGACTTTTCTATGACTTTTGGGCATACACCTTTACTTTAAATCTCATCGCCTGTTCAAAATGTGAGTCGGTAAGGTTCTTACACAAATAGGATAGTTCAAAGCGAACTTTTACATCTTTTTATGAAAGTTTGATTTTGCGAAACGAACCTCATCTGTAGAATATACTGCTATTCTTTGATCCAAATGATCGAGGAAATACGAAAGAATAAAGATCTTAATACTTTGCTTTAGAAGACGTTGTAACGGTACAAATGGATGGTAACGATGTGGAATTTATGCAACGCGGAATGGATCTGAGCTTCTTCTACAGGTCAGAATGAAACATCTTGAATCACAAAAGAATGAAATAAAGAAAACATAATCTATATGAGTTGTTGAACTTGCTTATATGTTAGGAAAAGAAGTATCCAAAGAGCTTTAGGTCTGCAGAATGGGATCTTCTTTCACTTAGTTCACAGCGACATTCGGTGTTGTATGCTTCATGCTGTGGTCCAGAGAAATACGTGGACATCACTTATTATTTCGGGTTAAGGTATGTGCAGAAGCCATTCAAATATATGCCCAAACTAATGATGAGGATGAGCAGCCCAGAAACTCATACCTTACATTCGATATTGAATTTTTCGCAAACTGGTTAAGGAGTGTAGTTCCTTGATGAAAGGAACTACACTCCTTAACCAGTTTGCACTGCTAACACTCCTGTAGGCGAGGCTTGTTAAAAAAGAGAAGTAATAAAGCTAAAATTAAAAATCAACCAGGAAAGTGTGGTAGTACTTCTTTCCAAATTTTTTGCAAGATCAAATGCAGTAGGAAGTTGTTTCAGTAAACGTATTTTTAGAAGAAAAACGCTATTTTTCACCTGCAATCTCATTATTCCCTGCTTCCTGATATCAATCCTTACTACATTTGTCTTCTATTTGTCGGATCACAAGATCACATTTTCCATCAGTATTCTCGTCACGCTCACTGTGTTCTTCTTGGTGAGTACATTTTTCGGTACTTTTCCGTTATCTGGACCCATTTTTTCAAAAAAGGATATTTCTTCCGACTTTGTACCATACTTGCTCTCAAGATCATAGAGAAAAGCGTCAACCTTCTGCCACATGTCAGAAAATTTTGACATGTCATCTACATGTCTAACAGGTTTTTACCAAAGGTCTGTGTTGCACAACCTAGCGATGTAAGTTCAATCTGTATTTTAGTGATTAATGACCTCGTTTTCAACCAAACAATTTCAAAAATGAACACTATTATAATAATAATGTCACTCTGTTATATTTGAACAGATTAGACCTGACCAGAATGGAGAAGTGCGCTAGAAATCCAGTATCCAAGCGGCGAAACAAGCAGCAGCGAGATATTGCAATTCATCATTTGTAGTCTCTTTGGATAAATTCGCATGGCGAACTTTTATAAAGAAGAAAATTTTGAATTATTGCTGAAAGCAATCAAGATGTTCTGCGATAAGTTCTAGACGGTTTTGCTCTTATAGAAACCAAGTGGAGGGCTTTTAGGTGATCGAAAACGCTCTTATACCTCATCAGAAATGACTTCGAAAAAACAGCTCAAAATAAAACAGAACGTGTTAATTTTTCCCTGACACGTGGCGAGGAAGCAGTCTTCGTAGAATCTATAAAAAATTGTTCTTAGACTGAAGAACGTATTTTATAAGAGCCTTTCGAAAAAATGGGTCCGGATAACGGAAAAGTACCCATTTTTCTTAAGAAGCTTTTTACTTAGTCATTAGTTATTATTTACTCTCATTACTTTGCGGTAGGCCAAGAAAGTGTTTTTACATGAAATAGAAAATATGTAGAATAAAGTAAAAAATTCTCTGGAACAGTTTCCTCTCTCAGGTATTAATCGACCTGATGCCTCCAACATCGCTTGTTATTCCTATGTTTGGTAGATACCTTATCACCACTATGATACTGGTTGCACTTTCTACCGTTGTTTCTGTAGTTACCGTAAACTTCCGATTTCGATCTGGATCTGCGCACAAAATGTCGCCCTGGATTCGCGCTGTATTTCTGAATTTCTTGCCCAGGTCAGTTCCAGTGTTGTTCATGAGATTCACATAAATCTGACCAGTTTAGAGTCCTGTTCATGTCACGTCCAACAAAGAAGGATCAATCCAAGCCATCACCCACACTTGTAGACCCCACATCGCTTGTAGAAAGGCCATTGAGAGAGGAACCTAAAGTGAGTTGTACATCGACGACTTTTGGCAAACATTTAGAAAATTTTTGAGGTACCTTCGCAGTCCAGTACTCCCCGATTGAAACTACCAGCTTATTCTGGATACCATCGAGAAAAGACCACCTGCAAAGACGTTCTCAACAATGCTTTCAATGTAAAGGGAGAAGAAAGAAGCTCCAAAATAGCCACCGTAAGATTACACTATTTTTATGCAGAAAAGACATAAAGGAGCATAGTCGAATCATCTCATACGATTATGTGTGCATTGCACACGCCGTCCATCTCGTCCCCATCCTGGACTTGCAATCGCAAAAACGCAAAAGACTAACCGATTGTTATCTCTTACATTATTTTGAGGTGATTAGTACCTGAAAAGGAAAGAGAACATTGAAAACACATCAAAACGCTTTACCTAAACGGTTCGTCAAGAATCCAGGTTCGTCAAAGGTGGACAGTGTGTGTTGTGACACACACGATCATATAAAATGATTTGACTGCACCAGACTTTCCATACACAGATCAAGTGCACGAAATGTACAATTAATTTAAACAAAGCCTAATCTGGTGCTAACTAAAATTCTTGTTCGAAAATGTGGCTAGTGATATAGTCAAGGAACCTGATAGAGGCTCGTGTACAGCAGCCGGAAAATCTCTCCAAAGTTGCTACCGTTTTGCGGTGACGTACAGCGATCGATTACTTGTTCTGGCTGTAATTCAATATGATACCCAACAGTTTTCCATTCACACAAGGCAATAGGGTCAGTGACGATCCATTAATGTGTATATTTTTTCCATCCGTAGACGAAAGGCTCACAGAAAATACCAGCTGCAGTTGGTGCAATCATTTCCGCATTACCTTTTCTTTTTGTGTTGCTGGAACGTCTTGTCTGGATTACATAAAGAAATAAATAAAAGTACGCGTCAATCATAAAGTGACTATGGCGGTCATCGCGTGTGTCGTGTACCCAGCACGTATTAGGGTGTCTCGTAATTTTTTACCGTTTCTACTGCAACCGTCGTCTTTTTGTATTTTTCTTTCATCTGATGTGGCTTGAGTAATCATTCGACAGGGCAAAGCAAGCTCTACAAGATCGAAAGTCTGCCCAAATCATATCCCACGTGAAGTTTTGACCTGAAATCTGATAGTATTTGAAAACGAACTTTTCTTTCAAAAATCGTATCTCCGACCCAAAATATCCAAAAATTACCCATTTATCCTAACATACGCTTGATATATCGCTTATTCAACTGTACACTTTTCGAATTTTTTCCATGGTTAGAAATAAAGAAAAAAATGAATGAGGCAAAATGGCAAACTCCGCCTCTAGACGTCCTGAGATCCTCCCATGCATGTGATCCTATAGCTCATGCATACAGAAGTACGATCATGTATTTGGACCTTTTGCAGGTGCCCCATTTCTCCAAAAATGCTGATGTTTAAGTAGGTAAAAATTTATGAGACACCCTAGTAGTTCCTGCAACCGCATTTTCTTTGCTTTCATCTCTATTCGAAGCCATTTTTGCATGCATAGGTAGCTGCTAGATGATGAGTGAATGACTGAAAAATAAGGTAACACTTTTTGTATGAGTTTTATGTGCCCTTGTGACGTTTGATTAAGCACAAACACACATATCGTCGTACGGTTTTTGAAGCCTAGAACGGGAAACTCTTCCGTGGATCTCCCTTTTATAAGGGGATGATCATCGGATTTATATATGCAGTGCTTATAAGCCTATTTAATAGTATGGCTTCCCATTGGTTTTTGAAAAGCTGAAAAAAGGATATGTCATTTTTTTGTCAAAGAAAATCAGACAAGTGATGCATCGATGTTTATTGTAGTATTCGTAATACTAATCAATCTGCAGTTCAGCTGTTGCGATTTGAGCATAACAAAAAATACCTCTAATACAAAATATATCGGTTTCTGAGCCGATTATGAAGGATGTACTTCGTGGGCTTCAGTTATAGCCTTGGTTACAGTATATCACATTCACTTACAGCTGTTTACAACTATCAACTCTGATAAATCTCTACTTGTAGCCGATGAAGCCTCTAAACGCCAGCAGCTCGAACTACTCGGCACCTCGAGTCGTTTTTCGGAAATCCAAAAAAGCAAAAGGACGAGTGGATGACGTCATTTTTATTAATCTTTTGCAACAAGTACGCTTCATTGCCGAACACTTCCAGCACAACGAGAGGGAAAGTGAAGTTAGTGCAGCAGATCTTTTTGCATCACCTGAGCACTGCGAAAATTCCTTAACTGTTTTAGATTTCGGACGACTGGACATTCGTTGCGATGGTACTGGATCGACTTTTTCTTCTTATATTCTCGGTACTGAACGTTGGAACGATGTTCATTATCCTGGAGGCTCCATCACTTTACGATTACTCCGAAGCAATGAACATCACCGTGCCGAGCAAGCCACTCGGACAAGCCAATCTCTTCGGCAGTCATTCACGCAGTGTTTAGTGTGCCTGCAACTCGATCTCTATGCAAATTTTCTCAATCATACATCGAAACGGTTGTGTATTTGGATCTCTTCTGTCTCAGTTTTTGATAAAATATCGAAGATATACATGTGCTGTTGTAAACTTTGGTAAGTTGAGCGGGATTACAGGAGCAGTTGGCACTTTAACGCAGCTTCTGCTGCTGCCGATCGTAGACACTGAGGAGTGTGACTGAACAATTTTTGAGGAAGAGGAGCATGACATTACCTACACCATTCAGATTGTTCAAAGATTTTCTGCAAACAGAAATGATCTAAGCAGGAATAATCTCATTCAAAGATTGCTTCTATGTATTTGCATGCAAAACAAGTTACTTGCAAGTTTTTCGTAATTTATTTGGACCTTGAGTAAACATGACTATCAAGCTTTCATTCTAATATGGCCCTCTTACAGATCAAGGCTTGTCGCCTAGGACTTTATTGTCCAAACTATAGATGGGTTTTTAACGACTTACTTTGCTTCCGCATTTTATGATTGTAGACTAGTTTATAACCTAGCAGTTAGTGGGTTTTTAGACCTTGCGGTGCTCGAACGGGAGGATTTGGATTGTGCTATCGAAAATTAGGGAGAAGGATAGTTTCTGCTCCTGTCGTCTTCAGTTTTCGTATGCTACGGCCAGATGAATTGGGCTACTACTTACAATAAGAGAGATCATCTTTTGCGAAACTTTTTGCGAAAGCTGGCTTTAACGCTTTGAAGACTTTGGGAATTTCCGATGTTTAGGGGTGAACGACGACAAGTTGACTACACTCATTGTATGTGTATGTTTTTTGCGTTTCTTTTGTGTGTGTTTTTTTTTCATTTTTGCCAATTAATAACTTCTGTCGAAACAGGAAAATTATTGTTACGCCTTCGTCGTAGTTATCTTGGTGATTTCTTGTCTTTTATTTGTAAATTTCTCCGCCTCCATATTCTACCGATCAGCACCGGATTGTCAATCAGGAGTTCCGCAGAAGTTAGCGAGCCCTCTACTCGAGATCCACTCCCCACTCATCCAAGTCTCAGACGAAATCGTTCGTCTAGAGAGAGCTAAGTTGGTCAGCCAAGCCCTGGAAATTTCTGCCAAAAACTGCGTTCGCGTTTGGGAAAGGGAGCTCGGCTTACTGGTTTCTCATATTCAGAGTGTGGGGGAGGATTCGCTCAGCATCACATCTGCAAAAAAGCTTTGAGAGGAAGGGATGGAAAACGTAAACCTGTGATCATATGATATAGAGACTATATGATATAGAGATTACTTAAAGCCTTCATTCTTCTTTCAAATAGTAATGCAATGAGACTAAATTGGCCGGGTCTTGAACTGCAATTTAGGTGGCAAAGGTCCGAATTGCGGACCACTTTGGAACTAGTGCACAACAAACGAGAGGGACAGATGACCCTGGTTCTTAGAAGCTTTGACCAATAAGAACAATGAGTGAATGGCGATTGTTCAGGTTGCTTACAATTTCTGCGGATAACTTCAACTCCGCGGATCACCACAATGCTGATTCGGATGCGATAGGTGGAGAAATTTTTCCGATCCCTTCACTTTAGGGCCGGCATCTGGCTGGCCCCTCTCACGTGAGGTTGAGATTAGAATCAGGCATAACGGCAGAATGAAACAGCTATCACAATGGCATTTTTTTGCTTGGAAAGGAAACGCTCTTGTCCTCAGATATCAAGATAGCGAGAGAGCATCGAACCAACGACTTTTTTGTTGAAAAAACGCTTGTTTGAGACCTGCTGTTGCACTTAAAGTGGCGTTGATAACGACACATAATCAAAAATTGAAAGGATGTCCGATTCTTTGAATAATCACTGGACTTGCCAATAAGGATGCATGTTTCCTGACAAGAATCGTACCATATCTCCTTTCACTAGAGAGAATAATAACAAATTAAAGAGCAATTAGATTACTCGTTTCTCAAACTTTCGGTTCATATCTAAAAGTTCGAAAAAGACCTTCTTGGTTCCAATAATAAAGCATGAAATTATTACTTAGATTTGGCTGATAATGGAGCTGGATAAAACTGCTCATACCTCACTCCACAGAAAAGCTAGGAAAAAAGAGGCAGCCTTTCGATTTCCCGTGTTCTTAGCTATCGAATGGTATACAAAGAGTTGGAGCCTAAGCTTTCCCAGTCCAAAAAAGTTTTGTTCCGGCGATCCATAGAAAGCAGGAGTGGGGTGGAGCAAAATACTAAATATCTCCACCTCATTATTGGAAAGCCGCTAGTTTTTCTACTTAGGCACCTATATACCACTAGTAAGCTCACACCTGCGTAAAGAATGAATGAAGATGCCTGATTGTCCAACTGTGTTACAGAGCAAGACCTTGCCAGTAAACGTAGACCGTCTCTTTTTCTCTAGCTTTCCTCTTCCTTTCGGAAATGGAGCGCAGACTGATCGCATAAAATCGGCTGATGCTGCAGTAGATAAAATATATTATATCTGAATACACAAGGAAGCTAGAGAAGAAGAGACGTTTTACGTTTATTTTAGATGTTTCATGTTTTCGAATGGTATATCGATTGATGAGACTTAAAACTGTCTTGAATCAAAAAGTCTCTGTTCGAAGACATTTCATCAAAGCATTGAGAAACTCATCATATTACCTCTGTACCGCTTATTTTCTCTCTTTGCACTTCCCAGTCCCATTCGACATGTAAGCTTACGTCAGCATTCATCTCAAGGCTCAGTTACCCCCCTTCACTTTTCTAGATCGTAGTCAAAACCCCCTTCATCTGGAGGGGATTCCGTTCCCCTTATTGCACCAACGATGCCGAAACAAGTCGAGCTAAGCATAAACCACTACTATAGAATCCTTGGTGTTTGTGCTAGCAAATTACATGAAACTTTGGTGAAAAACCTTTTTCGAAGATAAAGTTTATGGGGTCAGGCAAAATCCCTCAAAAGGTCGGGCTGCCTAAGATTTTGTAGCTTTGTGCCTGACCCCTTAACTTGTCTTCAAAATTCAGGAATCGCTCCAATTCTGGCATGGCATCATCTTCTTGCTAATATAAAAATTTGGAGCCAAATACCGCATCCCTGGGAAAGTTATGGCTCTTTCAATCCCGGACCAAAATCTACCGTCCAATACGCGTGATTGTGAAAGTGCAGTCGCAGACAAATGGGCACATTCAAAATTCAAAAATCTTCAGGAGAAATGATATCCTCCAGAATGTCATACTCCGAGGTTCCGGAGGTGAAGTGGAGAAAAAAGGCGTCGTTTGGGGGCTTTCAAGTGTGGTGGGATGTTTTGGAAAGACTTGTGGCTGACCTCTTGCTCAAACTGTGGTCATGAGCGTCAAGCTGCGTTTTAGTCTTTGATACATACAGTTCATGACTGAGCTAAGACCACGACTCGATATATCCGTATGTGGTTGGAGAAGTCTGAAGGGAAAACGAGTGTTCGAGAAAACGCCATTACTGCGATAGTATGGCAGATAGAAAGACTCCTGCGCAAAAGTGTACCCCATTTTAGTTCCGACTACAAACCCTCACATCTTTCTGAAACAGAGGATTTCTCATAAGAAAGCAAGATTACAAGAAGATGATGAGAAGAAAGTACACTTAGCCAATATAAAAGTGAATGGCACCGGCTCCACTCGTTCCCTGTTGATTGGATCAAGATGACTTTTTCCCACTTGTCAAAAGTGGACCTCTAGCACTTTTTTTCGTGACTCTCCATTCTGTCCTACTTGAAACTAGCAAAAAAAATGTTCCCGCTGCCAACAGCGAAAAAGTGACTCAATGAAATCAACCCATAGTTTGTTAGGAGTGGAGGACTATATGTCGGCGAATATGGGAGGGTCCCGCGCGAATTTCCTTCAGGAACGGATCTCCGTGCATGTGCGAGGGTGCGTATTTGTCGCAAATGACCGTGGGGACCGCCCCCTTTCGATGACATATACTCCTCCACCCTTAACTCACAACTATGCGCCATTTTTTGTTGGCGTCGAGTTGTGTATCTCCCCGACCCGCCCCCCCCCCCCCCTTTTCCCCCTCCCCCGTTTTCGCCGCCGAAGATGTTTTGCACTTGGAGTTTTATGGGGTACAAGAGATTGGGTTTGTCGCATAGCGCCCTACGCCCCAAATACTGCAGTCATCCCGTTGACTCACTCCTGTATGTAGTTTTTGAGCAGGAGCGCAGCGGAATGCAAAGCTATCTGATCCGGTAAAAGCAAGCTACAGGATGCCCAGAGATGTGCACTTTGTAAAATTATAATAATTCTTTTGTCTCGAAAGCCATTACTAACAGTGAGCTTGGTACCATGTTATTAGAGCTCGCTTCAACTTATTATTAGATCTAAAGTACAAAATAAAACTACCACAACTCTTTATTATTGTGCGGCTGCTGTGAAAACTTCTAAAAGATGTTTGATGTTCACTCATTGTTCTCATGAACAGCGTTCACTTACCCTTGTACAACGACCCCCTCTTTCAGCCTGGGTTGAGAAGCATTGATAATTGCGATAGTTATACTGCAATCATCTTCCTCTAATCTCCCTCCTTAGTGCGTCTAAGCCCCACATGTCTCTATTTCAAAAAGATGAATAATCTTCATGCTTTAAAACTTTTTCAAACAATTCTTATTCGGCAATCAACTTATCCCTTGAACAAAGTCAAAATTTCTCAGTTATGGTTTTGGAAAAAATCGGCAAAGGCGATCGGTTCTGATGGCAAATTCAATCGTAATAAACATGCTCATTTACTATCTGAGAGCTGAAATGTTAATTTTCTTGCTCAAATTCCTCAAAAATCTGCAATTTGAAATGAATCTAACGAAAAGTAAACTATGACATTCGCTCCGCAGCAGATTGTATGTGGGCAGTCTGGTCGGGTGCGTTCAGAAGAAATTTCTAAGAGTATACATACATACACACAGTACATACCTTTGAGCTTGCATGCTAAAAGTACGCTTAGTTCGCTTTACGATTTTCGTGCAAATCGCAGCTTATGAATTCTGCTTTTTGACAGCTTCGGGCTTGCTAAGATCGTGGACAACAGCTGACTCTGACAGACTATGCTCATTTGGTGATCAACGCCGGGGTCATGACAGTACAGCAATTAAAGGTGATTGGTTATGCACACTCTTTTCCTGCTACATTCTTTTCGTTATGAGCCCTACTGCTATGCTAGACTTGCCCGACAAATGCTTAGACTTTCCAACCATTTTTCGCAAAATTTTCTTTGATAAGAAGATAAAGTCTACGCTCTGGCCTTATATGCATATCATTTGTAAGCAGATTTTTTGATTGGATAATATTAAGTTCCTTTTTTTCAAAAAATGGGATTTTCCATGCATAGAACAGTAGGGTATTACATGACAATGTTGGTCATTGGGAAGTGCAGACTCACCGATATAAAATGAATTTCCACATTCAACACAATTCCGTTGAATATCTCGAAGGAGCGTGAGATATATCGGAAAATTTCTGCAAATTTCTCCTTCAAAGTTCTTTCCAAAAGATTCAAACTTCCGCGAAACAATCCTGCAAAGATTGTGAATACGACACAAAACCAGCTGCACTTCAAGGATAGTCATCTGTTGAAGCAAAAAGTTTCTCATCTACGCAATTTTCTCAAGATATTTTTCGTTTCCAAGGCTGACTTTAGACAACCGTACTGCGAAAATTTCGAATTATGAAAGAATTAGAACTCAACCGACCTAGGAGTAGCTATTGGCAGGGCTCGGCAAGAGGTGGCTAGATGAAGATGCAAAAAACGAAGTCTCCCTTGACTTTTGAGAATTTTTACGAACTTTCCTTTGACCCTCAACCACATTTCCTCCAAAAACTCAAAAGAAAATCCCCCAAAAAACGAAACGTCGATTAAAAAAAACGTCGCCAAATCGCCAAACTTGCGTGTCTCTTCAGTCACAAAAACGAAACCCCCTTTGCTTTTCGTCCCAAAAACGATATCCAGCTGGCTTGTAAGCCACCTCTTGCCGAGCCCTGGCTATTGGGCTGAACTAAAATAGCAAGTCACTTAGTATTTTGCTCTATCCATCTGTACAAACTTTTTATTACAACAGATCCCAGCAATTTTGTCACTATTTTCGGATATGAATAAATTGACATCCACAGCATACAGAAAAAAGATCAAAACCAAACGTTGTAGCAAACGCTGATGTACTATTAAATACTTCTGTTGCTACAGTTCCCTCAAAACAAAAGTACGAAACTTAAGCGGTGGCGTAGGTAAGTTTATCACCTCATAAGCGCTATAGATCTGCTTCATACTACTCTAGGACCTACTTAGAAGAGGCAGGTTATTTTTACATCATCAAAGAATAGCAAGCAAGCAAGCAAACGACTCATAGTTCACCGATCAGATTAGTTTTGGATACGTTAAAGAACATGAACACGCACAAACATCGCACGTCTCGTCCATCCGCCGATCTATGACTGAGAAGTATCGATCTCGATCCGAGTTCTCGCCCACCATCCCTCATCAACATCAGAGAGTGCATAAAGGTAAGATGGAAAGATGATATATTAGCCGTAGCGCTGGTTGAGTGAACAAGAGGCTGTTGAATCTCTTAGGACAACAAAATATTCTGTGAAGGAAAGAAGATTTGCAGTGTTTGTCGTTTGATTCTGCAAGTAACAGCCTCAAGGCAGACTGTAGCAAACAAAGTTAGTAAAGTATTTCTTTAGTGAAAATCATATGCTCAAAGAGGTCATAAAATTAGGCTATGGAAAATAGTACTGAATGATTGCCATATTAAGTCAAAGGAGATGCAGTAGTTCTAAAAACGAAAATTGGTCTTCAAAGCGTATGCGAAAGCTTATTACTGTATGTGGGGCTGGCACGATACGGTATCGCTGAGCAAATGGCGTGCGAATTCCAAAGTTCTCGTACTTTGCAGAAAAATCGGCGGCGGTTCGACGCATGCGTTGATTGCAATAACGACGCGCAGCTCGAGTTTACACTTGTGTGTTACGTTTGTCAAAGCGTTAGCAATGCTGCACTTGTGCCTATGTTCCAGTTGGTCTCCTTCTATCATTAAATGAACGCCATATGGCTGATGGCTGCTGTTCGGAAGCTTTACACAACGCTGCTGTCGCTATGTGAACATTTACTCTTTTCCCCACACAAGCGCCCCTTCCAAGCTGACCGATCTCCACGTTGCATTTCGTGTTGTTCTGGAACAGACAGGACCTACTGGCCTCCGTCGTCCTGTTTACTGTCTCTAGCTGACGTCGATGCCCTGGCTCAAGCAAATGTCCAGCTGCCGGCGATCCGATCAATCTCAGTCTCTCTGGTTCATTCTTGCCAGCATTTGTGAACTTTTCACTCAGAGTCTTCGTATCTAAAAACGGGAAGCTGCGATGACATGTATGGATGCACTCGTGATGGCAGCTAAACTCCGCAGTGGTTACTGTAGCTTTTTCTCCATATGCAAAAATCTCTTTTCTTTTGAACTATCAAAAATCCTTCAACTACGCCTAGCACTTTGCGCAAGAGTGCGATCTGAATGTTTGCGACACCTTGTGGAAATGTTCGCGTCTTGTGTTTGCCCAGTCATCCCGGCTTGAATCCGGATATCTTTTCTTTTGCCAGCATATCCTCCGCCATCATATTCTTTCTTGCGCTTCGCATGTGGTTTGATATTTCTGACATTTTCACAAACAATCTTTCTTACTACCTCTTCTGATTTGACTATCTACGCGAAAAGCTGCAAACAAGTACGCTATGCTTATTAGTCTAGCCCTGTTCTTTGTTGAGAATTTTCACTTTGCAGCTCCTCCAGTTTGCTTTATAAGGTAAATTAGTGCGTCCGGTATCGATGGCCGATATATGTAGTGGGTTTGAATCCCAGAATTATCTGAAGGATCGCTGTAGAAAATGCTTTCGTCAGAAGGTAATACCCACTCAAAATAGATTTTCATAACGCATGAATAAGCTTTGTAACACTAGGACAAACACGAAACGTCCACGCCGGCACTTCAAACGAAGAAAGAAAGGCGGAAAAGCTGGCGAGAAAAGAATCAGGACAATGGCGCGCCAGAAGAAGGTCTGCAATCTAAAATCTTCGCTGTTTTCTGCAATCAATTCGCAATTCTGACTAGAATGTGATTCAGAAGACGGCACGGATCTGGTGTCGGTCTCGTCGTACATGTCGGCGACCTCTAAAGGGATCTCATCAGTGAAATCGTGCGAGAGCATGAACGACACGAGAAGCATGGTAACAGCCGTGAGCGGATCGGTTGGAGACGACCAGGAAGAACAACGTATGACGCCGACCGAAGATGACGTAAGCGTTCAAGCGTTCATATAAAACGGAATTACTAACAAACTAACGGTGTGATAAGTTTGGTGCAATGCGAATGAAACGAAAAGTATAAACTAATCCTTGCAACTTATCCGAGAGCAATGATTATGGTGACTCTAAGACATTTTCGACTACTATATTACCTCCCTTGAGTGTCTAAGATAAATTTGATGTAGTCATATCATTTGAGTCAACAATTACTGATGTTGAAGCAAGAAGCGTCTTTTGTAAATACACATTTCTCGATCTCAGACAAAAAAAAAGGATTTCGACAAGGCTACTGTAGTTTGCCATATTTTTAGCTTCTTAGTTTAGATGATAAGTTCTATCTTGTTAACCACTTTTGCAGTATTTGCTATGTTCTAAAGTACACGAGTCTCGGAAAATATAATGGCAGAAATTAGTTCTCCGAGAATACGTATAAAAATTACTCCTCGATAACCCAAATTATTAATCGACTTAAATTTTTTCAGCACACTCTGCTTATAACGCTGAAGGAAGAAAACCGAAAACTCACAGAAGCGAACAACAAATTAAAAGTAAGTTGATTTTCTTGTTTTGGTTTTTTTTTTCAAATATTCTTGTATTCCTAGCGGCGAGTGTTATGCTCTTAGATTCGGTCACTGTGACCTTTAGCGGACTTGATTGTGCATTTCAAAACTTCAGTTCAGGCACCATTTGCTCGGTTTTATCTATCCATTCAATTCATGTATTTGGGCTTATTGTATTTTTTCCACATTTATCTGTCTTCTGTTTTTTTTACTTTTCTACAGTGTTCTTAGTCGTACAAATCATTTCTTCAAAGCCCACCTAGTGAAGTGCCTCCGCAGTACAAGACGTTTTGTTCCTGTTACATCTCGACAGATTTCTCAATACTGCGATCAATCACTTGAAAAAAGTCGGCACTCACTGAGTCAGAGATAGTGAGATACGTTTTTTGAACACTGGAAATGTCAGGTTTTTCCTTAGAAAAAGCTGCAAAATCTACATAAAAAATTAGCTTCTTTTCTCCCAGCAGAAGCACGGGACGAAAAACCTTTTGTGTCGGAATGACTTATGGTGTGAAGCTAAATGTAACGACAATAGACTGAGCAGTAGATATGGTTTTAGGAAGAACGAGAAATGTGCTTACGCAAATGTACAGAACGACCAAAAGATTCAACTGAACAGTCTTTGGTGGCGATGCTTGAAGAACGCCTTAACGAGGCAGAGAGCAGCATTCAGGACTATCGAGACGAAAACACTGTGTTGAAGTGCGAGCTACGAGATTTGCAGGTGTGTAATTACTCTCTTTACTATTCAATTAGCATTTGATCTACATATGTAGATCACTTAATACAACAACAATTATTTATTTATTTAATTTTGATACACTCATGGTGCACCTAAATAAAAAATAAAAGAAAAGAGAATCACCTTATTCTGCGTTTCTCATTGCAGTGAATGATCTACGCACTCTATGATTGTTTGCTTCGTATCTTATGTCGGCTTGCAATTTGTTCCATATCAAAACTTCACCTGTGATTCATTATTAGCAGTCAACCTCTGTTCTCCATATTTTTCAACAAATTCACAATCCACATTCTTTTTTCTGGTTAGAGTAAGTGTCAGTGGTTCTCCACGAATGTAGTTTCACGATTTGCAATTTTTTCTTGCTTTACCGGTTTCTTTCAAACAACTATGCCCTCATTTATGCCACAATACGTGGAGTCATGTTAATGCCATTTCACAACTGAAAGCTTATAGACTTTTACAAATTCTTGCAGCTTTGTCTATAAGTCTGCTTGCATCTCCGATTCGATGACAGGTGTTTAGGAAACGACATACGCGAACTCCGATGCGAAACTTAAAGAAAAAATTACTTGCACAGAAGCGCTCTGTGACGAACTAATGGAAGAAAACGAAGCTTTGAAAACGGAAGTGCGAGATTTACAGCAGGAAATCGAAGAAATGCAGGTAACTGCTCACAAAGACTTGACAGAACTTCTTGATAGCTTACTTGTCACATTCAATATTTGAGGACCAGTATCGCGAAGAAGAAATCGAAGAATTCCGAGAACTGCAAAGGGAGCTGGAGCAGAATGCGAAGAACTGTCGTGTGCTGCAATTCAAACTCCGCAAGGCGGAAAGGATGAAGGAGCAGACCGACGCTGAGAAAACTCAGCTGCAAACTCGTCTGAATGTAAGATCAGTTCGGAGCTGTTTAACCTTAAAATCTTGAAATTTCCCTATTCAGGATCTGCTCGAGAACTCGAGCGATGCCGTGATTGCCTCAACGCGGTCTGATGCGGTACGGGTGAAAGAATTAGAATCAGAGCTCAGGATTGCAAAAGAGGTGAATCTTTCAAACGCACTACTTTTTTCCTGATTATCTGTAGATGTCAGCATTGCCGGCAGATAATCCTAATCGCTATCTCAACAAACAACTTGAGCGCATCTCCAAAGGGTCCTCCTAATTCTCTATTGTGTGTTGAAAAGAGCTTTACATGCTTGTTATAACTACAAGATTTTGCACGACTTTGGGAACAAAGCTCCAAGCTTAGGTCTACATCGAAGATTCTTCCGGGTGCTAGCATAGCTAACTTTGTTTTCAAAATCTAAGCACTTATTTTGTAATTTGCAATATTTACTCAAATTGTGACCTTCTGAAAGCCGTGACTTTTCTGTCATGACTGAATTTTGATTAAGGTTCAAGTATTAACATTCTTGAAATCCCATTTCCTCTGATTGGTAGTGTTTTAAGGTTTCTGTGCGACTCCACAATGAACTCGAGCAGACGGAAGCAAAACGTTACAAACTCGAGGATGAACTCTTTTACATGAAAGAGAAAGTGCGAGAGTTGCAAACACAGAACAAATGGAGAGAAGCAAGAAATAAGACTGATGTTGCTATGGTAAGAGCGAGTTTGTTCGTGACTTTTTCGAGCAGTGAGTTTCGTTCCAGAAGAGACTATCAGCTGAACTATCGGCAAGTGCACCGACGATGCCTGAGGGGGAAATGAGCAAGGAACTGAGGGATGCTCTGGAAAGGGAAATCGACAGTAGGGAGCAGTTGCGATTTGCTGAAGAGGATTTGAAAAGAACTCAGCAGCGTCTGAAGGTTGGCTAATCATTTCTATGAAAAGTGAACTATACATCTAGATTCCTGCATCACAGTACCACAAGCCATATAAATTTTTAGAAATCACATTTTTCGTATGATTTATCGTATCACTATATCTTTCGTATCTACCTTTTGATTCAGCGAGATTGGCGGCAGGAAGATGAGCGCTCGCACTCGCGACGCAGTCTGCGTCTCTTTCGCTAAAGTTCTATCTGGTCATTTCCTAGCCTCAATTGGGCCACGAAGCCCCGCCTTCCAGCCAGTCCGGTTGAATCAAAGTGCAACTCTAAAAATGAAGATTCTATGCTAACAGTATCATTAACGATAAATCTCAGGAGATGGAAAACGAAAACGAGATCCTCCTAAGGAAGCTATCGAAGAGTGTCAAAATGAGACCGCCAATGGTCAGATCAGCCAGGTAAAAATGTCTCTATCTTTTTGATACCTCGTGGAACTCCTTCAGTTCCTTACTAAGTTGAGTATTCGATATTAATTCCAAATAAATGAGTAATTTCAGCGAAGGTAATGCACATCTACAATTGGAGCTAGCAGAACATGAAGTGGAGCACTTGTCAACGAAAGTGGAGCGGCTAGAACGAACCAATGACCACTTGACAAAGAAGTTTGCTTTTCCCTTCAAATTTTTATTTTTGAGATTTTGATTAAATCTTCTCATAGAGATCAAGTAATACCTATTTACAAAGCGTAAAATCATCATTGGATGTCTAGAACTCATTGCTAATTACGGAAAACTAGTAATTGCTAGCCATCTGTATGCAGAACAGATTGGAAAACATGTTTTTGCTATATTCATGTCGTTGTTATCTTCATGTCCATAGTTTGTTCCAGAATTATGGAACTGGAAACCGATAACTCAAAGAAAGCCGCGGAGATGGGTATACGACCACCTGTAGGCGATGTGTGTGGGAACCTCCAGTAACTATGACCATCTAGATTTATTCCATGTGTTCAGTTCAATCTCACCCAAGAAATGGAGAAGGATATGGGGAAGATGATTGCCTATATCAGTGACCTCAAACAAAAGAATCACGAATTGAACTTGCACTTAAAGAACTACGAGGCGAAGGGCACTCCACCTATTCCTAAAGACACGGGTGAGCACAGTATTTATCAAAAATTAGACAACTGGATGCGATGAATTATTCATAACCAACAAAATAGGAATGTTTTCGAAGTACTTTGTTTCAAGTTCCAATCTTGGTAATTCTTTATCCGTTATGCTAATGAAGTTTTATACTTTCACATAAGACTTATATTTTCAATGGCTATGAGATTATCAGTGAAAAGTTTGTATGTAGCACTTTGATTTCCAGGAGCAGCAGATCTTCGAAGCGAACGGGAAAAGCGTCGTGCGGCCGAGACTGAAGTAACGGAGCTGAAACAAATCCTACTGAAGAGCGACAATCAAAAAGTGATCGCATTAGCGACAAAGGCAAGCATGGGCTGGCTTTCTCATGACTGGTTTGTAACGAGTACGCACTTCAGATCGAACAACTCAATAACCAGCAAGCGATGATTACCGAGCGATGTAATGTTCTACACAAGAAGGCCGTTGCGAATAGTGATAGTGAAACCTATGCGGTATAGTTGTTTGACGATTAGATTGAAGAACTTTAATCATCACTCAACCCGCACAGGGACTCCAAGTTTTGTGAACGCTTAAGTACCACTTATGGATTAATGCTTCTTAAACGAAGGCGGCCTTAAGCAAAACTTGCTGTTGAAAAATTGCTTGAACGCGCAGTTCGCACCAGCTTTGCAGGACAAACTGACCGCCTTCGTAAGGGACTAGCCTTTGACTTTAGCGCGACTACATCCCAGGCGCTAATTTAGAAATTTTGTTTCACTATGGAGTCGTAGAGAGTATAATCAAATGAGAAATCTGAAATTCTTGTCCATTATACATCCCCGATTTTGGAGACTATTTTTCAGACAAGAGCACCGTCAGTATGAAGGGTGTCCCAAAAGTAAGTACACACTTTTCAATCGTTAATATCTCTCTTTCCATTGGGTCTTTTTCCGCCGTTCAAGTACCATTCTGTAGAGCAGGCCTCAACTTAGATACACAGCATCGAGTGTCACCGTTCACTCTTCATTACTGCAGGATTACTGTGAAAACTTCGACAAGGATTTTACGCCATTGGAGGCCATAGTTTGCCTCGGAACAAAACCAAACAAGCCAAAAACTCTTTTACTATGGCAATGGAAGCTGCTGATTTCGAATATGAAACGTTCACTTGATTGTGATGCTTCTTTCCTGAGTTATCCCAGGTAAACCGTAATAACCGAGTTCCCCGCATTTGTCGGAAATGTAATTACACTGTCAGAAAAGCTGAAAAACTCATAAAAACTTGTGTAGTGGAATCGGCGTGCGCGAAAACCCTAGTACACGTTTTTTCAGATTTTTTTTCAAAAATTTGTCAGATGGCATATTTCACAATGGTTCCACATGCTGGAAGTTCCTACCGTAATCCTACAGTAACGAAGAGCGATGATTCGCTCCATACCGTAAATCTAAGTTCAACCTCGCTCTACAAAATGGTATTTGAGCAGCGGAAAAAGACCCAATGGGAAGAGAGATATAGACGATTAAGAAGTGTGTACTTACTTTTGGGACACTCTGCATATGTATCTTTCCGTAATACTCAATTCCGCACTCCTTTTAAATCGTAGCAGATGCAGAATACTACGCTTTGCCCCTCTCTGCTTGAAAGTTTCACTGTCAATGCTGGCATGGGTCTGTATCTAAGTGTGAAATCACAGTAATGTAACATCATAAACGATTAAAAATGCAAACCGAGCGCCACTCAACTTTCTTACATCAAAGCATAAAGAAAGTGTAGCAAGTAGGTAAAGGTCACTTCAGAGAGGTGATACATTACAGTCGAGTAGATTTCCTGCTCAATATAGTGTGCTTGCACAGAAGGTGAAATGCGGTAAAATTTGCTCGTGAGGAAATAGCTTCGACTGTGACGCCTGCCAGTTGCGCGCGCAAAATGCCGGCAGTGCTGGCGCAGCTACCTGTTCACGCGCAAATTTTACCGCATTTCATAAACTGTGCAAACACACTATATTAAGCGAAAAATCTACTCGACTGTACTAGCCTTACTATGCACGGTATTTTTGGTTGTTGCGCACTTGTATGACAGAATTTGCTTCCCTTTCACTTTTTTCTCTGGAATTAAAATTCTCGCAAGCTAGATATTACGTTTCAATAACAGTTTCAACTTGACGATCAATTTAGTCTTTCTTCCTTTCCGCAAGAATGAATACGTTCACGTGAAGACAATGAGCTTCATCATTTGCTTTGAAAAAACCGAAAGCACAATAAGCTAGTATTTCACAGAAAAGTGTAAAGCTGCACTCTGTGGGATGATTTGAAAGTAATAAGAAAGAGAAAAATTTTTGGCAAAAGCCGTGTGCAGTCGAAATCTCTGGAAGGGTGCAAGAAGTGACAATAGAACTGTTTCAAGCTTATTTCTCCTTTACTACGTATTTGTTTTGACAATTAAACTGTAGGATTTCATTACTTTCCAGAACGAACTGAAAACTCGAGTGGAGTTGCTGGAGAAAGAGCTTAGCGATTTGAAAGGAGCGGCTACGGTTTCGAATTTGCAGGGAAGTATTGCGGGACCAGATGAGGTGCGCATTGAAACTCATCTCAAGTATTTGCCCACATCGTCATGTATGAATTATAGATCGAACAATGTTGTGAAGTGCTAGCTTCGATAGAAACGCAGACGAGTCGGTTGTGCAAGCAAGTCGAAAAAATTGACCAAGCCCAGAAAGTAGGGGAGAGCTTGATTTTTTTGAAATGGCCCAAATGTCTCGACCTTTTAGGATGAACGGCGGCGTTCCCTGTCCAAGGATAGCAGCGCAACCATCATTGCCGAGCTAGCTAATCTCTTAAATGAGTTAAAAAATGTGCATACGATCATGGACACCATCAAGGTAAGGTCTCTTTCTTCAGCTCTCTGTACACAACGCATTGATGTGGCTTTGTTCTCTTGGAATTGATAGACATACATGTATTTGTGTATGTAGCATTCTCAGTAGTCAAATTTTTATTGCTTTCTTCACACAAAGTGCTGTAAACTGAGTTAAAGTGCAGCTTGTACGTTCAGAGTTTTCATAAAGTGGCACATGTCAGAGAAAGAGCAGCACTTTTTTGGGCATCAACTGTCATCTGTCCCACAATGCAGAAAAATGAGTTGCACTTCGCTTCTGCAAAGAAAGTATAGAGGAAATGTTTGCAGCAGAAAATGAAATTTCCTCAGCAAATACCATTTCTATGAATTCAGCCCACCAGTACATCTCTGGCGCGCAGATCTCCAGCAAAGGAAAATGCGTCACCATCAGTGGAATGTCCAAAGTGTGCTGAAAATCAAAAAGTGGTTGACGAACAACAGAATGAGGTCATATTCTACAAAAAGAAGAACAAGGATCTGACTAATCAGGTTTGCTCTTGTTTGTTCTTTGTAAAAAAGAAACTAAGCTACCAGGCGAATCATCAGTGAACAGATGATGGCCGTTAAAGGCAGTGGACAGGCAAAATGGACCCCTGTCAGATTTTGGTAGTTTCGGGTAGTGGACCCCCCCAATTACACCGTAGCCCCAACCCCAACTTCCAGTTGATGCGCTAAGTCCTGAAAAATGCGCTTCAAACTTCCACCAATAACGCCCACTCAATGGAAGTGGGCGGGGCTGGTGGAGTTTTGAAGCGCTTTTTTCAGGACTTAGCGCATGAATTGGAATGTGGGGTTGGAGTTACGGTGTACTTGGGGGGTCCACTACCCGAAACTACCAAAATCTGACAGGGGTCCATTTTGCCTGTCCGCTGCCTTTAATCTGTGTTCAAGTGGCCGTATCTTTGCAAATTTAGTAACCAGCCTAGAGAAACTATTTTGAGTAAGCTGATAAGTTGTCATTCTCATTCATGAGTAAAAAGAATGAGTTTGTTCCAGTTCTACTTTGATTTTGGTAAGCTGTATATATTGGGTCATTCCGAAAGTAATTTCGCTTTTTTCAAACGAGCGCCACATTTGATGGAACAAAGTTTTCTAAGAGATCTTGGACGCATTCGATGCAGAATTTCATTCTCTTTCTAATGGTCATGAAATTGTTGCAAAACAGTCAATGAGCTTTCAGAAAACAACCAGAATCTGCGACCCATGCTTTTTGAGATGTCAAGTTTCACGATTTTTTAAAACTTTCATATTAATTCTCAGAAGGAGTTCAAGAAACGATTCGATAGAGTAAACCTTATAGGATACAGTACTACTTTTTTCTCCTTTCCATAGCTTGTCATACATTTTCAACAGAATTTTAACTGATGCTACCGATTTCCATACTTGAGCAGCTAAATCCTCGTAGAACATCAAAACAAAATCAGCTTGCACACTATTGGATGCAGCATTTTCTCCTCTTTCTAATGGGTGTTTCTTGTTTCCGATTCATTCAGTTTCCGGGGAGAAATCATCGTAACTCATTTTTTAGCGAGCCCCATGCTGTACCCGAAAAACTCGAAATTTGATATTTCGAACCCGTAAACCCTCACTTGCTTTGTAAAACTAATGCTAACTCATAGCACCATCTTGGTAGTCTCAAATTCCGAAAAATTATGATGTTTGATGCGATTGTGGCTGAGGTGGGCCTACCAAAATAAGATAGTTCTTTTAAAAAATCTTTTAAAATATTACGGCGAGCTACGAGGAAGAGAAAAAAGTAGCACTGTATTCTATAAGGTTTACTCTATCGAACCATTACTTGATCTCTTCCTGAGGATTGCTAAGAATATTTTAAAAAATCGTGAAACTTGACCATCTCAAAAAGCATAGGTCGCAGAATATGATTATTTTCTGAAAGCTCATTGAATATGTTGCAACAATTTCATAACCCTTAGAAAGAGGATAAAATTCTGTGTCGAATGCTGCCAAGATCTCCTGGTAATCTTTGTTTCATCAAATGTGGCGCTCGTTTGAAAAAAGCGAAATTACTTTCGGAATGACCTAATATAATATGTAACACGTAAATTATTAAAATTATTACCATCATTGGAAAGGAAAACGAGTGAAAGTCTTCAGCTACTATTAGGGTGCAAAAATAATGAGCGTTTTTCTAAGATTTGTAGAACAATTTTTTTCCATCAAATCTTTTTTGGAAAAAATTTAGCATACTATAAGAAAGCTCTTTTCATGTCGTGTCTAATGTTAAAGCGGGCTTCTAGCCCCATTTGTTAGAATTGAAATCATAATTCCATTGCATTTACTTCTATGGCTAGAATTCAAATGCCGAAATTGTCTACAATATGCACATTTTTCTATGTTCTTATTGTTAGAATTTATCTAGATTGATATATCGCCGCCTCAACATGAGTAGTCGTTGTTTTCATTCTGTGGCCCATAATTTGTTTTTTTTTTTTGAAAGAAGCAGTTGCCGAAGCTTCGCTGATTTCTGTAAATGTAAGGTTAGGCCTCCTGCTGAAAATTTTGCAAAAACGTTTAGCTGTTCCGTACGCAGAAAATAAAAAAATTTCACATTGTGGGACTTTAGGGCCCAGGAAAAATGATGAAAAACTGACAATTTTGGATTGAATTTTTTTTTCTTTTCGCAAACCTTTTTCGTCTAAGCCTTTCCACTGTCTTATGTACTACTAGCTTGCGGCTACAAGACAGGCAACTTGTTATACTAACAAACTTTGAAGAGATTATGATCCGTTGAATACGAAGTTTCAGGAAAAGAACTTCATTCGTTTATCGATTCATATTTTTCTGCACTTGTGTGATCTGAGTATAGTGGATGTGCGCTGTATTGCGAAAGGTGCTACTGATGATTTTTATCGCATTTGTCGGTTTTTTGCAAATTATTGCACGTAAAACTGAGAACTCTCAAAACGCTCATTATTTTTGCACCAACCTAATATATTACCTCACAAAATACGACCACTTTTCAGTAGATAAATCGATCTTCTTGCCTCTTATAATGTTTTCGGATTCATCTGCAAAAGCAGTTTTTCAATGGAAACGAAGGATATTATGAGGACATGGTAGAATGAGCTTCCAGACTCGTGAGCCTTCAAGCTATAAAGCAACTAAAAAGGAAATTCAGCTGATATGCACTATGTGCTATGTGCTTATCAGTTATACCTTTGTTGGAAAATACCATTTTGTTCTACATCCGCTTCTATGTAGTACCATCTTGGATTACATTCACTTCTATGTAGTTGCTTATTACTGCACGCGCAAGTAGAGAGAACCAATTGTCTTTTATTCCCTGTATATAGGCTAATGGATTACGGTTTATGTAGTCAAGGGATTGCCAGAGGGCAAATTTTGAACATGTGCGCTCTACAGCCATTTTGCACCCGCTAATTGAGGGCATTACGCGCGGTATTTTGTTTACGCACATATGTTGTCGGCAAATGTCGGCATCACTGAAACACTATATTAACCGCAAGACCTATTGGCCTATATCTGTTATCCTGCTGACTATCCCCATGCTCCATCGGACAACCTGGGCCCGTAGTAATCCACCCTACCTGCCGGCATCTCATGCCCTGAGGTCACCCTGATGTGGACTTGAGGTCCCCAAAATCTCAAACTGTCTCCGGGGACCCCCAGCTAGGCTGATCATCCATTTTTTTGTGTTACGGTCCAGTTTTGCTGCCGAAATACTATGGGAATTGAAAGGAAATCCAAAAATGTCCTCGTTTGCCATTTATTTGGCCCGAATTGTGAACCTGCCGGCAGGTTCACGACCTCTTTTTGTCGAAATTTGAGATGCCATCCAGATCGCAGCCTGCCGGCAGGTCAGAGAGTGCACGAAATAGTATGTTTTTGGTGGAGTGCAACCTGCCGGCATGTGGACGTGCCCCTACCACGTCCAGATGCCGGCATCTTTGCCGACGGCGTCTGTGAAAATGCGTCGCGCTGCAATATCACACAATTTACGTCCAGCAAAAAAACCAAAAAATTTATTTTCCATCGAAAAACTATCATTTTTGCCATCATATGAGTTCTTCTCCCCCAAAGTGATGATATTTAAGCATAAGAAACGATTGCTGATATTATAATACCATAAATAACATTTTGCAATTGCTTTAAATCTCATTTGCAACGGTTTCGTCTCTCGTTCGCTCTTATCAATCAGCTGTTTTTTCAGGTCAACGTCCATCGCGCATTGTATTGATCACTAGCTGGCTTGCCCGGCTCCGCCGGGCCTGCCAGCTAGACCCGTGTACGTATGTTCCGAATAGAAATTTTTATCTCTGAACCGATTGGGACCGAACTTTGCACACATACACTTCGGGGCAGGGAGCGTGTCACAGCCCACTTTTCGTTATCGATCGATGTCGATTTTACCGATTTTTTGCAAAATTTGAGCTAGGGGGCTAGGATTTTGCACAGGGGGGTAATCGAGCATGCTGATCACCCCTTCGGGGTGATCAGCATGCTCGATTACCCCCCTCTGCCAAATCCCAGCCCTCTAGCTCGAATTTTGCAAAAAATCAATAAAATCGATATCGATCGATAACGAAAAGTAGCCTATGACACGCTCCCTGCCCTGAAGTATATGTGTGCCAAGTTTGGTCCCGATCGGTTCAGAAATAAAAATTTGTATTCGGAACATACGTACACACATACATACAGACAGACATACAGACAGACATACAGACAGACAGACAAACAGACATTCAGCTTTATATATAAGATGCTCACATACAGGCGCTCACTACATAGGCAGCGTTTCTATAAGGAAATTGAACGAGTGGTCACATGGTTAGTGCGGCGGTGCTTAACGTTGACGCACGCAGGTTCGGACCCGCGCGATGTCGCTGTTTTGCGGATATCAGCGGCATCAAAATTTCATGTGCGAAAGAGAAAAACAAATTGAAATACTAGAATCTGAAGCAAGATTTAGCTTGCGCCCGAAATACGAACATGCCGCGAGGTTCGCGAACTTGCCGGCATCTTTGATGCCACCTGGTAGGGTAGATTACTACGGGCCCTGAAGTCAGAAGTCAATAACTGCAAACAATTGATAAAACTGACAAACAATAGATAGTCGACTTTTGCAACGCACCGGCTGCCCTACCGTGTGACAATTATAGCCTTCACAAGACGAAATGCTGGAAGCCTATATCTTTATTCCCTTGCTTCTACGTATCGCTCTACGTCCACATCAGGTCGTGAGGTCATTAGAGAAATCGGACTGTTTCAGATTCTCCAAACTGAGGACAGATGGACGATTGAAATCGAGAAGCAAAGACAAATATTTGAGAACGAGGTTTAGAGATTTTAGTCAAAATGTCATCTCCTAACGTTCCTCTTGCAGATCAAAGGTCTCAGCGTGCGGTTAGCTGATTCTAAAAGGCAACTGGAGGAGCAGAGCCAGATTCTGCAGTCGAAGAGCCTCACATTGATAGAGAAGACCAGAGCAATGGAGGAGCAAGAGGAGCGATGTAATCGGCTACAACATGATCTCGAAGAGCAGAAGAAAGAGAAGCAGGTGTGAAAAGTGTTGATGGAAAATGATTTGACGATTGCATCAGAATTCAACTGTCTTTAAAGTCTTGAATGTTGGGTAATTCTCACAATTACGATCTAGGAACTGGAACAAAATCGAAAATCTGTTCGCGAAGTGGAAATCAAGTACAAAAAGCTTGAAAGCATTTTCGAACAAGAGCGGGAGAAAATGAATGGTGAAAGAAGTCGTGCTAAAACAGAGTTCACAGCGTTGAAGAAGATTGCGGACGATGCCGAGGACATGCTTAGTGAGCCGTGTATGTTTACGATATTCACTGCACGGATTACTGCACACCTTCAGAAACCACTACGCAAGAGCTCAAAAAGAAGGAGACTACGTGGAAAGCGGACAAGGCTAATTTGGAAAGGGAAATAGCATCTTTGAAGAAACAGGTGCAGGCATGCAGAAATGGAGAGGGTAGCGAACACGAGGATAAAGGTAGATCGTAACATTTAAAATGCCTCTGTAGATCAGTAGAATCTATGATCCGGTGTATATGACGGTATAAGTAGAATCCCTGCGCTGCCGGCAACATCCACACATAAGAAATTGCTGTGAATTGTGGCACATTTCTAATCTTAAGACCTGAAGACCCAAAGCCATTTCTTAAGCTCAGATTTGGTTGGCAACTCAAAATCGACTTCACCATGATCTTTCAGCATCAGTTCATGACTCGGACACAGACGATCCTCCAAGTCTAGCGCGCCACGAAAGTGATAAAATTACCTTGATCGACCTAAAGAAAGAACTTGCGCTGTACGAGAAGAAAGTAAGCACATCAATCTATATGGTCTAGAATTCTCCTTCTTAGTATCTTATTCCAGTACACTGACTGCGAAACTAAACTTGAAGAGTTGAAAATCACAAATGCTGAACTGTCGGATCAGTTGAACAAAGCAAAACAGGGGTGGCAAAAGGATAAGGAGAATCATCAGCACAAGCTCAGACAAACAGAAAAGGTACCAAGAATTTAGTGCATAACTAAGGTGTCAATAACCTGTCAAGCAAAATTTGTGAATTTCAGATAAGAATGGTTGAAATGGACGCTCTTCAACAGAAGTTTTCGAGTCGCATGCGAATCATGGAGGACACAAACAAATCCCTTCATTCACAGGTTGAAATTCGGAGAATGTCTGCACAATTTCAGCAAACTGAAATTACAGTTAGTGCTGGCTCGTCGCGAACGAGACACACACAAGGAGACTTTAGCTAATGTTGAGCGCAAGATACTTGAAGATCGAAAAGCAAAGGATTCTCGTGACACCGAAATGCAGAGAGCTCAGGAGAAAATCAAGGATATGGTATCTATGCAATTATCAGCCTACGAAATATAACGATTTCGATGAACAAATCATTTAGCAAAAGTCGTTGGCTGATGTGCAGGCAGAGTTAGAGCGCGCTAATACCGATCTGCGCCTGACAAAGGAAGCCCGTAAGGCAGATCAGATTCTGTGGAAGATCGACAGAGCCCGAGGTAGGTTAGGTTTTCCGAATCATATTTCCACATTCTGCACAATTTATTCGCTGAAGGTCGAAACGAAAAGCTGTCGGACGAGGATATCCATGCTATTGAGCAGTTACAGACCAAGTTTCGCGACTGTGAAAAGTTCTACGTGAAAGAGACGGAGCGCCTGACAGAGAAGTTGAAGGCAATGACGCAGGAATTCAAAAAGCAGCGTAACGCTCACGAAAGGATAGTCACAGAGGTAGAAATTTGCAAATATCTCGACATCAAACATGTACTTTCTTTTGATTGTTTCATTTGAGCTGAGAGAACATGTACGAGTGCTGGAAATAGAGCAACGAAATCTTAGCCTAAAGAAGGACAATCAAACAGCAGCCAGTGAGATTTTGGAGGCAGGGGCAGCTAGACTTCAACAAGCTGTGCACTTAAATGAGCTGCAAAGATTGACAAGAAAGTACAGATTGAGTAGTATCATAGACCAGGTACATTAGTTATAGAGAAGATCTTCTCAAAAAATTTGCTGCACTTTTTCAGCTCCAATTTGTTACCGATCCTATTCGACGCAACGGCAGAAGTGAAGTAGAGAATCCGGACGGAATAAAGTACATAATCAATCAGCTGATTGCTCTTCGCGATGAGGACGCACAAGCAGTCGTGCCAGTGAGGTTGGAATTGTCTAGGAAATTTGGAAGCGTTCGGGTAAATACGAATATTAAGCGACGACCGCTGTGGATCAGCGCAAACCTACGGAGAAAAGAATACATACACTCCCTCTATCAGTGAATGTGACGGTACCTACGATAACATCAGTCAATCATCACTTAGCATACGATCCGTGGCCAGCATGCCGGTCAAAAGCACTCTTGGGTAAGATTTTCATAGAAGGGGTCCGGGGCTTGAAGAACAAAAAGTTTAGGATATCTTACTACGAGAACCTAATAAGTAGTTTCTGTTTAGCTCTGACAATCGCAGTGGTTTCGAGCGTTACGGGAAACACATCTCTCGACGACCCTACCCGGATCATGCTTTGACAGGTTTATTTTCTAAGCATAACTTTTCTGTCAATGATCTCATGCCATAGGTGATTTATCAACCGCAAGAACTGGCCGTCATTACAAAATACGCGACGCTTACGCTTACTTTGTCCTACTTGTTGCAAATCGCGGTAAAGGTGCTGACGCGTCGCGGGCGAATACGGTCATTCCGTGCGGTCGAGAAATCACTTGTATAGCTCGTGGGAAAATCCCGTCTTAGGAGATAGAGAAGAAGATTCCATCAAAGTGCCTGTAAATGATGAGCGAAAGTTATCCGCGCCGCAGGTCATTCCACGAACTTCATCTTTCGACCAACACACGGAGACTGGACCGCAGTCTCACAGAGCAGGTGAATAGTACGCTCTCTTTAGTGTGAGCTAAAGGAACCAAATTAAGCTTATCCTCGCTATGAAGAATTTGTGCACCTCCTTTAGGTACGACGAGCATACTCTGTCGCGTGAGGCGTGAGGAGCTCGCACGTGGTGGTCAGCCTTCCGTACGACTCATGGCACGAGCCTTCGAAGCTATCGACAACTGTCCCGCTGAAAAGCAAGGCTTCTTCAGTATGAGGAAATCGCGCTCGGTCGAAACGACGCAGGGTAGGGATCCCATCAAGGTGAGATAATGGAAATCCACGCAAACCTTTTCATTTAAGGAAAGAAATGTTCACAGGTGGAAACACCACCACCCCTCAAGCATAGCATGAGTAATGTTGAGGTGGAGGAAGCTGCTTCGCCCTATGCTACACTGCCGCGAGGTCAGTATGCCCTTTATTTCAAAAGCCACCTGAAATTACCTAGTGTTCCAGGCGGTCGCAATCCTTTCAAAAATATGGGGTCGAAACTTGTTGAGCGAGTGAGGAGGAGCTTATCACGGTCAAGTCGACAAAGTAGTGAAGCTCCTGAGTCAGCGGATCCGAAAGTGGATAAAAGTTCTTCAAAAGCGGTAAGTTCAAATCTCACAGCTCAGTAATCTTTTAAGGGGGAAACTTTATTCCGAGGAAGCTTTCTTTATTACCCCGTTTATCAACACATCACTGACAATGTTCTCTTTATTAGTCCTGGTCGAACGATTATTGATCAGGGTAAGTTGTACTTGAAAGTATAGACTGTGTAAAACCAAAGTGCCCTCGCCTTCCCTTTGAGGCCAGCAGAGCGAGCAGTTGCCGTGAACTATAGGTGGATTTAGATTTTAGAATCTATATGCATTCAACCTACAGCCGTAGCTTGAATGCGTATACGTTCATGACACGCAAGGACTGGGCGCCGTTGCGTCTGACCAAGATAGTTCGTGCACGGAGAGACAGCAGATAGTAAGAGAAGCGGAGGGCTCGATAGGAGAGACGATACGTCCGCAGTCTTTGCGTGCTAAGAATGGTCTATACACACTCGTCGTTTGCTAAAATTATTTAGTCACGAAAGGGGTATTGTTTTTTCAAAGGACAATTATATTTAAATCAAATTATGTTTCAAATCACCGAGGAAAATTTTTGACCGCTATAAAAAGGAAAGAGTACGAAAGACGTGCCAGTGTGAAAACCTTCAATATGCCCATAGGTTTTTGGAAGGCAAAATGAAAGAGTCTCGCGCTGTGCGAAAATCGTATAAGAGCATGTAAGTATTGGCCCTTATTGACTTAATCAAAACGGCAATGTTGTCTGGACTGTCAGCTGGCGTACTCTGCGATTTTCCCGAATACCACTGCGGACCCAGGAAAAACGATATCCTTTTTGCTTTCTTCGCCATAAACGATATAATCTTAATTTTTCTCCAAAAACTATATCCAGCTTGGACCGGTCCAGCTGCGCTGAGCTCTGACCTCAACATATAGTGGAATTGGCACGTTCCACATAGAACCATCGCGGATTACCTCAGCACGAAGTCTGAGGACCGATGCCATGTGAAACAGTTTACCTGCTTCATGGCGTGAATACTCGTAAAGAACGGCATGCAGTTTGAGAATAGTGTGTGAATATGGAGACTGTGAAAGGGTAAACTGTTTTTGCAGTGTTCGAACAACCATTTTAGGAGAGTTCGATTGAACCATAGTGTTTGACAGACTTGTCTGTGTTCCAAAAACATGCACATAATAACCCCCGGAAGTACAGCACCAGGTCATAATACACTGAGTATTGTGTCTTCACCATCACTAAACCTAGCACTTTTCAGTAGTTCGGGTGCAACAGCATTACGTGTTCACAGCATCAGTTGCCTTCAACCATAGTAACGCTACATGTTCACACCATTCACCTGTGTTATGTTCAAAACTAGATTGTAAGTGTTCTTTAACCTGTACATATTGAACATCATTTCGATCACTATCATGGCCGGAGCCTTCTTCACATTCTAGTCGACTTTAGTATTACTCATTATATGACATGCATAACCACACGACTGAGGTTATCACATCTAGGCTCAAAAATGTCTAGAAATAAGTAGTAAAGGGTCGGCAGCAAAAATAATGCTTTTCTGCTGTGAATGATGGTGATTTGTTTAGTTGTACAGCAAGTTGTCGAATTGCACTGCAGTGGTTCATCATCTCTTCGCTGTGTGATAATAAACATACATTTCTTCATAACGGAAATTCAGGATCAAGCTAAGGTGTTTTCAAGTATGGCTACCTGCCCGCTTCTATGGGCCTAGGCACTCCAATGGAGAGGATACACGGATTCATATCGTAGAGTACTGATACGTATAGAAAATCTTTGCACGAATCAAGTAAATGAAGCCAAAGAATCGCCTACGATATGCCCGTGGGTGGTTACGGTACTCATGTGAAGGCGAGATTTATAATACTGTGATGAAATTTCGACATTTCTACAAATTCTGAATCCACGGACTCAGTGCTCCAGAGCGTCCAAGTTTATGTGCTAGCGATGTCTGCCGTGTCTACCTCCTGCAGCGATTTTGTCGCTTCATATTTCACCTTTTTGAAGCCGGTCTCGAGCAGTTACTAACTAGGTAAGGATACTTGGTGACTGTGGCCTTTTGGAATGAAACTTACTCCAACAAATGCATCTTGAAGCGCTGATTCTCTATCTGCCTTCCATATCTGCTGTGCGCTCTTTCAAAGAAAATTATGGACATTTCTTGCCACCAAATTTTGCACTGTTTTGATGACAGAATTCATCAATATCGTTGGAATGACCACGAACTGAAAATGAGCGTCCACATGAAATAAAGCTTTACATTAACCTCAGGAAAACTTTCTCCGATATATCCAAGACCTAAAATGGTGAAATCTAACGCTTTTGACTGCCTAGATCTTTTGGAAGCATTATTGGAGAAAGTCTATAACTTTGTTCAGAGGGCGCACTGTCGGTAATGAACATAGATTAGGAATCAGCGTTTTAAGGCGCATCCACCGTTATACAGGTCACTGCAAAAGGCCAAGATCACCTAGTATCCTTCCCTTCTAAGCCAGTGGCTCGGCAATTATAACGCGTTAAAATCTCATCAGCCTACTGTTTGGGTGGAAACGATGCCTTTGAACAGCTTCGCCGAGATTGGCCGTAATAGTATTTTTGCATTGAACGCTATCTGTTAGGTTGTCCCAAAAGTGAACTTCTTATTTAAATAAAACGAGATGTACATATTTGATTTCCTAGTAGACTTAGGCTAGCCGATAGAGCAGATCAAGCTCTACAAAATGCCACCTAGGATCAACTATGTCGAGCTCGATGTAAAGTTTGAAGCTAAAATCGAAAAAGAATTTAGTCGTTGAAAGTTGGATTTCTGTGGGGAAAATCTACGGATCTCCAACTTGCTTATTATGCTGTAGGCACACAGTTCTACTCAACGCCTATAAAGGTTTTTTTTTCTGCCCATGGAAAGCTAGAAAAAAATCCAAAAATGGCAAACTCCGCCCTCAGCACGTTTTAGATATTTCATTGTATACTTCAAGCTTTACTAAAGATCCGATTTTTACGAAAGCTAAAAAATTTTGATTTTTGGCTCCAAAGTTTACCCGGATTATGACTCAGGTGGATCTTTGTGCTCTTTTTATAGAACTTGCTCCGCTGTATCGAATAATACCCTAAGTCTGTTAGTAAAACAAAAACAGCTCAATCTTTGTGAAAATGGAGTTTACTTTAGGAACAACCTAATAGAGACGCTCAAAGCATTCTAAATCATTGCAAATAAAGGCGTTCTAAATTATGGCAAGAGGCGTTTATCGATTTTCTATCGAACCTCGGAAGTTTTTTTGCAGAACTTGGGCAATCAATTTATTAGTTGTCTCATATTTTCTTCAGTTTAACGCAATGAGCCATACACTATTTAGTTCTAGATAGGTTTCATGGTGACATAAAGGAGCAAAGCAAGCTTTACAGGATGTCTTGCAAAGGATTGTAGCAGCTTTGATCCACCTCAAGTTTAAAACCAAAGCCTGAGAAGTTCTGGATGCCCAAGAATCCAAAGGAAATTTTCTTTCCGTCCAAAAAACGGATCTCTCACTGACTCACTCACAGGCACCACATCGGGCACACATAAGTACCATCACGCAATAGCGATCCCACGATTTCCGTTCGCAGATTGAGGAGCGACAAAATTTTTTTTTCGAATAAAGGTGCGTGGCGTTAGCCACACGCTCCGAAAATGTTTTTGGGATGCTTCTCAAATTTTCGCGGGCCCATGACCCCGAAATTTCGAAAAAGTTTTACAGGGTTAATGGGAATTTTTCAAAATTTTTGTCAAAAGTTCAAGTAAGATAAGTCATTTGCACACAAGTAAGTAACTTTCAATTTGCGGCTTATTCTCGTTCTCGGGGGGTGGGGCTTCCCCCTCGGTCCGCCACCGCATCACAGTGTTTTTTTCTTGGCTGGAATTCGAACAAAAAAGACAGAAAACCAGTGGAATTGGAAGGCGGCGCTTTGTGACCTAATTAGGGCCAGATAATGATCTGAGAGAGCGCGCGCGAGAGAGAGAGACGCAGACTGCGTAGCTGCGCGAGCCACCTTAATTAGGTCACAAAGCCCCGCCTTCCAGCCGCCAAGCCAGTTGAGTCAAAGTGCTAGTCAACTGTTGAGTCGTCGACCACACGGAGTGTCCGTTGATTGCGGAGCACGCACGGCGCGGTTGACATGTCAGAAGAGCACAATTTGCACATTAGGATTTGTATTGGTACAAGTGTGGCTGGCCGCGCGCGCATGCTCCGCAGTTTACGGCAGGACCCGGCACGAGTCGGTTTTTAGGGTTTCTGAAAACAAAATCTCACCTGACTTTAGGAAGTTTTATGAAGTCCCCTTTGACCTACCTGCTTAGGAGAAGATGAAAACAAGAAAGATTTACTAGTGTGAAAGAAAAGACGAAGATAAGAGTGAAAATCCAAGTTGGAGCTGAATACTACGCATGCACAAGACTTTGGCATTAGAGCGCGATATTTAACAAACGAGAAGAAATATGAAAATGTCTTCATGCTCAGGGATAGATTTATGACCGAGGAATCCGTCCATGCCAGAAAGATCCGAAACTTATGTGAAGTGACGAGGATATATGCTCCAGACGATCTCAGATCGTCTGGTGACCGTCTGGAGACGATCCAATTTTTAAAAGGTATCGCTTCACATAAGTTTTCAAATCTTTTTACAGAATACTTTCGTAAATAATTCTCTAAGTATATAGTTCAGTTTTGGTGTCATATGCTTCTGTGTGCGCTAAGCAATCTGTTTGTCTAAGCCTTGCTTTCAAATCGCGCGCACTTTTCGCCATACACGATAAAGCGTGTCAATCGTGTGATAACCTGTCCGAAAAGCTTGTGTTCGACTAAATGACCAGTCAGCGCGGTCGATATCGACGGTGCATAATGGCAAGCGAAATGCACAAATGTTAGACCATAGTTGTTCAAATTCTTCCAATAAGCTCCCTGGTTCTAAAAGTTCGCGACGTTTACGGATCGTGCAGCACTTACGCATGGTACTTCTCAGAACGTTTTAGAATTTGAAATTTACCATAGGAAACACTCGAAAGTGACCGAGAGCTCCTTCAATGAAATCAGGCTCTCTTATCAAAGGAAATCATGCGCTTTCCGTACTCGATAATTCAAGGCCGTTTTTTAGACGAATATCAGGTTGTTAATTGAGTTTTGCAACTGCTTTTATAACTTCTCTGTTTGCTTATGACGCACTCAAATCTTCCCAACGTCTAGGTGAGGTAAGCTACAAGCGTAGCCTTAGTTCTGCAAATAAGTTGCGGGTTACGGTGGGTATTTGGCACAAGGAGAAAAGTCATAGATTATCACAACTATGCGTAGGTGGGTTATCTGAGATGCTGATCACAAAAACGACATTGATTTTAGGGGAGGGGCTTCATTGTAAGGGCTTTTTTTATAAGGTTACAGTATTTTTACGGTATGGGGTCTCACGCTAAAGAAGAAAAAAGGCGTTGCTCTGATGAATGAATATGATGTTCGTATATGGCAGAGCAAATAACCCCCAACATGCAAAAATTTGGCAGATTCCGAAACTTCGCTTCCTTAGTGATTGCGCTTGTCCCCAAGCAGCTCTGCGTACAGCGGCCGTTCAACTTTGTGAAATTGCCGAAGCTTGAGTTGTCTTCGAATCCCACTTCTTCCTTATTGCGCTAGATGAGTCGATATCTAGCAGCAACTTATGATACTTTCGGATTGTTGTGTATGATGTAGGTTAAGAACGGCTTCACTTTCACTCAAAACTCCATGAATCCTCAAATTACACCAGTTTTTGAAAAACTCGGATTTCTTCTATTTTGTCATCAGAAAGCGAGCGATGGGTGCTAGTTTATGCTCACCCGGCAGTCTATAGTATATCAAAATTTGGCGCGCCAATATCAAAAAGCAAACAGTTACGGACTCAGTTGCGAAACTTAGTTAACACCCTAATAGTTCGCAAACTTAGCAACGTGGCCTCCATTCGTAGCGGTTTAGATATGCCAAAATGGCAGATTAATATAGAAGAGACTAGCTCGTATACCCGGCTTTACCCAGCACTGTCAATACTACCCAAAAGTTCCAAGCTCCTGTTCCGTTCGACAAACTCCTGTTCCGATCTCACCCTGTTATGCCAGTGCCCTGCCCCACTATGTGTTCGCGATCAGCATGCTCACCTACACCCCTGCAACAACTCCCAGCTCCGCAGCTCAAAGTTTGCAAAAAATCGATAATGTCGATATTTCATAATCAGCATGGTCACCCCTCCATGTGCCAACTCCCAGCCCCGTAGCTCAAACTTTGCAAAAAGTCGATGAGAATCGATAAAATCGATGTCGATTGATAACGAAAAGTAGCCTGCCCATCTCGCGCTGAAGTACGTGTGCAAAGTCTGGTCCGGATCGGTTCAGAAATGGAATTTTTCGAAACATATGAACATTCATAAATACATATAGACACAGATTTTTTTAGCTTTATGGATAAGAAAGGGGACGAGTGGCGCTGATATGAGGCCTACTATGACCAGGTCGGATGCAGATTTGATCCCTGCCCTGGGCCAACCAAGCCCTCTACTCTCCGGAGCCGCTAAATTGGTACCAGAGTAATCTGGGAGGATAAAACCACTGACTTGGTAAACGGAGGCTTCCACAAGTCACTGTATTAGGCTCGCACGCATACATGCCTCTTCGACTATGAAGTAGCGTGCGTTCGGCGCATGCCCACAGAGGGTATCAAAAAAGCCGAATCTTTTATTCATATATAGGATAAACTTTAGAAGAGAGGGAAAAAGCGTACCTTCCCAGAAGAAGCGAATAGCGAAAAGAAGAGGATAAAAGAGAAACGACAACAACTTCTACTCCCGTGGAGGTGAAAAGAAACATGCTTGTGTGAACCTCATTGTGCATAAGCACTCCGTGGAATGCCATCATCTGTAAGCTGTAGTATAGAGAAGAGGCAAACTGCCTTGCGCGATGTCCTGCAGCAAAACTGCCCATCTGTTCAAAAATAACAATACCGTAGAATGTTCGCATATCGTTCCAGCCGCAATCTACGCTCTTCTATAGAATAGAAAAATAATGCTTACGTCAAGAGTAGAAGAAGTATGACAAGCTATATAACTCTGAGGAGAACGCGATAGCAAGGCAATTTGCACAAATAGATATCGGTAACATTTGGAATTTGAGTTGTTGCTGATCTGCAAGGGATGTGTCAAAAGTCGCAGTGGCTTTTTGACATGAGACAGGTATCATCTGAAGCAGCTTGAAAAGCTGATTCCGAAACAGCCTTTCCTAGCTGCAGAATTAGTCTGGTTCGGGAGTTATTGAATTTAATTTGCGGAAAATTTACAATGCTGAGAGTAGCCAAAACTACAAGGCGCATGTATTTTGGGCTTAAACATAGATGAAACAATTATAAATGCTCACTGTGATTCTACTCCAGGGTACTCTAAGCAATGTAAAATTTGATGATTGGAATGCCCATAGCTCCCGACTCAGGTTCGTTCTGCAGCTAAGGAAGGGTTTTGTAATCAGCGTTTCAAGGTGCATCAGATGATACCTATCCCAAATCAAGAGGTCACTGCGATTTCTGACACTTTCAGAATAGCTCGGCAATGTTGACAATGACGACTTGTGAATCTTTCTATGTTACATCGGATTATAAGGAGCTTGACAGTTTTTCTGTTCAGTTTCCAGAATGCGACTACTATGAACCCCTAGTCTGCTGCGATACCCTCAAAGGACGAACCCCACAGGGATTTGGCTGGTACAAGTATAAAGCATTCTGAAAGCACATCCGCACGCCATCAAAGTTCTCAACTCTATCTGCGACTAATGTTGTTTGGTCCTGAATAAATAATGGGGCTGGACCTCCGCCATGCGACGGGCAAAAGCGTCTCAAACTTTCTGGTATCTTCTGGCTAGAAAATCGTTTGGCATACAGCGAGGCACGCTTTGTGCCAATTTAATGAATAGGAGTGAACAATTGTCAATTGTGAATTTACTGAATAGGAGTGAACCAAGTTTTGCGCGTTTTCCGACCGAGTTCATTGGGATAATTCAACCTCCACCTAGTGCTCACTCGTTCAGCACTCAGCAAGCGGCCTTCTTGAAATCCAGCGGTTGAACATCTGCACGGCTATACAAAAGCCTTCCTTAAGTTCGACTTGCTTGATCAGTCTGTCGTGCCTATCACTGATGGTGTCAGCTACCAATAAGTGTAAACTCTAGTAGGATTCTTACACATTTGCATTGCCACACATTGTGCAAGCTCATACCGTAGACTTGGACGTCTTCTGTTTTTTTCTTTGAATGCAACTCTTAAAATTTCTTGTTGAATCTATCCTACTGTTTGGTTAATTTCTTCAAGTCCGGCGATTTCTTTAGATACTTAACTTGAAAATACGTCAGGAGTGATTGCAAGCGAATTAATACTTAATTTTTGTTCTTTGATACAAGCCATCTCCCTATTCGCCGGGCAATGTCCTACTGTTACGCTTCGAGTTCTAATTCGGTACCCTCCGGAAATCTAACTTTTCAAATAAAATGACTAATTCTACGAGACGTTCTTGAGCAGCATAGCGAGCGCGAGGATTCTTAGAATGGTAAAATAATAATCACTATTCCAGGACAAAAATGCTTCCTCTCTGAAGAAGACAAAGAAACGATCAGCTGAAGCAAAAGCTCGGAAAAACGGAGGAACTTGATTTGCGATTTCAACTCAAGATGTGCCACTTTATATCCAATCATTTATTACATCTTCACATACTATCCTTAGCACTCTATCAATTTCATTTCCAATGCAACTGTAATACTTTTCTTGTTAGGCGCAAAGAGTCTATCATCTGAGCAGAAGGGTGTAAACGATTCGTCTAATAGTTCGTATGTGATACGGACTCACTTTTCAAATGTTTCTTGCCCTTCACAACCAAAGCATGCCCAGGAATTATGATTCCGAGTTGGCAGATATGATTCCAAGCAACGGTGAGCTGTTAGTTTTAATAATGACATCTTTCTCACCCATCATTGCCTTTGCCATACTGGTTGTTCTATTTCATGCGATTTGTGATGTTTTGCAGCATATACCAAAAACTTGATTATGTGCACTTTGCTTTATAATGTATGCAATGCAAATGTGCTGGCTCTTCTCTATAATTCTAGTCACAATTCTGTTGTCTTGAGCTTCAATTTTCTAAAGTGCGCTATATGATCTTTTCAATGAGTAAAATGAATATAACATCATGCCCGCTTTATGTCGTCGTTTTTCTGCTCAGTATCTATGCTGAGAACGTATGTAAACAATCGAACCTTTTGAGTACTTTTGGGACTCTATAGCCTCAATTAAAGAAGAGTCGGTCTACAATATTAGGATAAAACGACGACAAGCTCGCGAAAGAAATCGCCCGTTGCCATATATTAGACTCGTTCACAGCAATACGACCCACCGGTGGTGCTATGTTTCTGATGTTCTAAATTTGTTAATTTGTGGTGAAACTTCCTGAGATTTTGAAACAATGTTTACAGCTAGGTGGAGCTTAGAGCTTGACAAGTTGGGATACCGTACAGACATACCGTAGAAAAAGACCAAGCACGGTAATTAGCTTAAAATTTTTAGAATAAGCGGTTTCTCTAGGAACAAGACTGTACATGCAGAAAGAATACGGAGCGGGCCGTAGACTAAAAATTACCCATCTGAAATTCATTGATTCAATATTTGCCAATTTTTTGCGAATTCATCCAAGTCAATGTTATGTTTTTTTGCGTTTTGGTTACAAAAATTGCGAATATGTCTCGAAATTACCATTGTTTACATATCTATGTTATGATTTTTGCAAGTATCCCACTGTGCCACTACCGTAGTAACACTGTAGCATATTAACGAAGAAAATGAGTGTTTTATGATCGACACGTAATTAACGCCCATATGGGATTTTTCTCCAAAATCCGTGGTTGACCTCGTAGCGAATGACTACTCCAGATATAACACCAAGTGAAATGAATGTCAATCAGTCAGCAGCTTTGATCTGCGTAAGCGATATTCTTCTGAACTTCCGAAAACACTCATTCTGACCATGCAAGTCGGCGGTGGCTCGTAATTTTGATGTTGCAAACGCTCTAGTCCGGGATGGTCTTTGAAAATGGCACGGAGCAGGTTGGGCTAGTGGGCTGAAGATTCGACGAGATCAGTTCTGTTGTCTCTATATCCTGCATCAGAAGGTTTAGTATAAAATAAGATGATTTACATATGTGTTCGCAAACAACTTGGCCAACTCATATGAGTGGTTGAACCAAAACATTGAAATGTCCTCGCAAGCCCTGATAACATACGAGTCATTCGTAACTACCCTATTTTCCGGCTTATAAGCCGCACCCGCCGCAGCGAACAGTAGCGCGAAAGCGCCTTCGAAAAGAGTTCTATCAAAGTGAAAACTCGGTGCGTTTCGTGAGTCTTTAGTGCAAATGATCATGTCTTAATTTTTTCATTTCTTTGGATGCGTATCCTGATATTGGTATGCAGATGGGAGGAAGTCCCACACAGTCTCAAATCGAAAGCATCGATTATGTTGCAGAGAATTGAACCGGCCGGTTTCCTTAGAGTTCGTCGTCAATTGGACGACAAAGATGGCGATGCGAGCAGGAGAAGCTCATAAAATGCGACAGTACCAAAAACGTTCAGAAGACTCCCAGCAGATGGTCAGCATTAGGAGAGGAATTGAGAGGATGACTTGACGGGCAGCGAGAGAAATGAACAAGAGTTGAAACCGTAATGATGAATGGGAAGATGAAGATTTCTTACAAACAAGTTGCAATTGAGAAGAAACCAAAAAAGAACGAAAGCAGGAAGTTAGTAATGGGCTACTTGTTGAGACGGACAGTAGTTGGCTGCTTGTGCGGCTGTGCGCATCGCGAAAAGCACCGCACTCCAGCCCGCTCGCGATGAAAATAAATGCGGCTTATACGCCGGAAAATAGGGTAATACAATCTACCCCAACCGGGATCAGGCCGAACGTTTGCTAAATTTGTGCGCGCGCAGCGCCAGTGCTATGCGCTGCATATGCGCGTTGTCGGAGAGAGCCAAGAGATTGAAGAGCAGGCAAGCACGCCGTAGGTGTGACGCAAAACTCTAGCGCGCGGACTCCCGCTATGCCAACTTTGGTCTGATTGGGATTGGGGCAGAGTGTATGTGAGCCCCGGCACCTTAACCAGTAAAGCGTGGCAGTTCTATTACAAGTTCGTCAATTAATTTGCATGGTGTGCAGTACGCAACCTAAGTAACACAATGACTCGAAGATAAGTTCCATCTCTTGAGAGCGAGGATGCGAATATTCGCTTCCCTTGCTTTCCTTTGCCTTGTATGGGAATGGAAGGCGCGTTCAAAAATGTATATTACTTTGAAGGAAACTGACAAGAGAAGTGCCAAAAGTCGCAGTGGTCTTCTGACATAAAATTGTTCTGAAGCAGTTCAAAACGCCGATTCCAAAGTAGTCTTCATTAGCTGCACAACGAGTCTGGGTCGGGAGCTATGGGCATTCTGTGGCCGTATTCATCAACGAACCCAGTGGGCTCCGGAACCCATTGGGTAGGCTCAACCCACAGGATCGGTATTCACGAAGCTAGTGGGTTTGCGAACCCAGCAGTGCTTTTAGTGAATATTGATCCAACCCAGTGGCACTGTTTCTGCTTACCAAATGGGTAGCGGAACCCACTGGGTTCGTTGGTGAATACGGCCACTGATCACCCAGTTTTACTGAGTACCGTGGTCATGGAAATCGTTCAAATGTTTGTATAAGTACTACAGCAGCAAGAAGTAGAATTACATTAAGCATTAATAAACCGTTTCATCGATATTTAATCCCAAAATACGTGGGCTTTGGTAGTTTTGACTACTCCCAAGGTTGCAAATTCTTAAAATAAGATTCAATAAATCCCGACCCACAGTTTCGTTCTGCAGCTAAAAAAGACTTTCGGACCAGCATTTCAAGCTCCTTCAGATGACTATTGTAAAAACGCCACTGCGACTTCAGACCATGCATTCGATAGTCTAGAGAAAGGGCCCCAAAAGTGAAGGTTGTTTGAATATCTGCTCTCTATAAAAAGTGAAGATTGTTTATAGGAAGAGAAATAAAAAAAAGATGCAAAACATTTAGCAAAAGCAAAAGAAACTCTTGGAAACGGACAAAAGCGCTGCTATGAGTTTGAAATCTTTTATTTGGCGGCATTTCGAATTGCAGGTTTTCGTTCCGATCAGGTTATTACAACAAGGGAAAAACGAAGAGAAGCTAATTTCTTCTTTGTGATTGTTTCAAAAACAACCATGTATTGGAAGTGGTAATTCTCAAAAAGAAAATAAAGAAGAAAAAGTTAGCTATGAAAACGCAAAATTTTGTTTTCACTAAGTCGAAATGTACGTCAAAGCCAGTCTAATTTTTGATGCGTCCTTCAAATTTTTTCCTCCTCCTCAGATAATCGCCGGGGGCAGGCGGTCCGCAAACTGCGCTTTTCTGCAAGCAGTCGGCAAGAGTTTGGGGAGTGGGCAAGCCTTCAGCGAGCAGTGCTTCCTTTACCGCCGCATGTTCTGCCAGCGGAGAGCAATACAGAATTTTCTGCAAGCGCTCGTCAAATAATCTTTTTCAGCGAGAGCTGGCCAAATTTTCAGCAGGCGCTCGGACTTTTTTAAGCAGTTTCGGAAGTACGCCGAGAATGCGGCCACTGCGCGAGAACTCAGATAATCGCCGGGGGCAAGCGGCCATGCGAATTTTGAGCAAGCGGGCACCGGAAAAATAGTTCGCTGATTTTTTGTGGTCCGCTTGCAAAAATTTGGAATAATTTTGGCCAATTTTTAGACGAACGCTCGAGGATCTATCGCGGTTTTTCTGTACAGGGGTTGCGGCACAGTGGCCGCATTCTCGCGGATTTTCCGCGGGAACATGCAAAATTATTGAGAGCCGCACGGTCCTTTTTGAGGGACCGCACAACCCTCAGGTACTTTCCGCTGAAAGAAAGTACCCCAAACTTGGGTAATAAAACCATCGATGGCACCTCTGCCACATAGAGTCTCATCTTTTCTCGGAAGCAGTGGTATCAACGCAGAGTACTAAGCGCTGCTATGAGTTTGAAATCTTTTATTTGGCGGCATTTCGAATTGCAGGTTTTCGTTCCGATCAGGTTATTACAACAAGGGAAAAACGAAGAGAAGCTAATTTCTTCTTTGTGATTGTTTCAAAAACAACCATGTATTGGAAGTGGTAATTCTCAAAAAGAAAATAAAGAAGAAAAAGTTAGCTATGAAAACGCAAAATTTTGTTTTCACTAAGTCGAAATGTACGTCAAAGCCAGTCTAATTTTTGATGCGTCCTTCAAATTTTTTCCTCCTCCTCAGATAATCGCCGGGGGCAGGCGGTCCGCAAGAAATCAGCGAAGAATTTTTCCGGTGCCCGCTTGCCCAAAAATCGCATGGCTGCCTGCCATCAGCGATTATCTGGGTCGTAGTTTCTGTTTCTGGCGACGTTGTCGGCTTTTTCTGGTCATAATTCTGGGCAAGATGCCTTCAAGTTTGAATAAAATTGTTTCCTCATAATTTTGGTGAAGTGCTTTGAACAAAAACACACTTTTTGAAGCTTTTTATCAGATATATTTGCTTTCGACACTCTTCTTGTGAGGTCAGCATTCGGGCAAAAACTGTATTTCTAGCTTTTCGCTCACTTGGCCTCAACGCTGCGCTCAGTCTGAAAGTTCACCACAAAGAGCGAATAAACTGCGAATACGCGCTTCTCTATCCTCCTCATTTCTGCAAAGTTCCCGCCAAGGCTAAGACGCAGAGTCGCTGTGGGATCTTATCACGTTGATCTGCCGGCATGCGCATCTGGCCCTGAGGAGGATCCATGGGTGAGACTTTCAGTGCTTATGTTTTCTGATTCAAACATATTGAATGTTTGGAATGAGCGCCTTCTGGGCTACCTTAGAGTGTTTCTGAAAGTTTCAAAATCTTGTTTTCAAAGATTTTCTTAGGACCTTGCAATATAAACGCATTGCCTCGTTGGTACCGCCGCACCACGATAACTTTCCTCAACTCAAATCATTGAATTCTAGTTTAGATATTTGGAACCGGCGTATTCTAAGCAAGCATTTTAAGAATTT